TTGCTTTTGAACGGATTATCCATGGGTGGTCATTAACATACAATGCAACAAGATTATTATTATTCATTAAGGTAATTATTAATTATTTAACTATTAATTCTTAATTAAGGTAATAATCTTGTTGCATTGTTTGTCAATGACTAGCCTTGGATAATCCGTTCAAAAGCATTTGGTCACTTTCTTATATCTATGAACAGACCATAACTTTTAAAAGGGGGGTGGGGGGGCTTTTTCGTGACCTTGCTTTCCGTCACGATCGATTCTTTTGAGTTTTTACCTTTTGTCGACGGAGACAACCGACAAAAAGGTAGACTAGGAGAAATTTCTTTTTAAGATATTTTATTTATTCATTTTAATATAATGAAACTGATCTTCGAGTATTCATAAAATGCATAGAAATAAAAACTCATTTGTTTTATTATTATTAAAATAATAATAGTGTGATTCGAGGCGTAGACAAAAAGATCATAGTATAAAAATAGTACATTAGTAATATTTTTTAATTTACTTTATAGGTATTAGGATCAATGAAAACATTTATTTTAAAAAAAAAAGATAATACAATAGGCTACCTGCACTTATTTTTTATTTGGTAGAAATATTTATTAGTAGATTTATAACACACCCCTTAAATATTTTTGAAATACACTAACTCAGAATAGACTTACACCGATTCGAAGTTTTAATCGACATTGAGCTGGCTAAAGTCTACCTACAACTTATATAAAATAAATAATCCATGTATAAAAGAGTTTAGGTTAGTTTAACAATTCCTACTGGCTGACATTTAATGCATCGTGACGTTACAAGATGTTTTCGTGTGATGTCATATTTAAAGAGCTCCAGTCGTAAAACAATTATCGGGTAGACTTCACCAGGTCATTAAAAAAAAGGCAAATATGCAAGTATAGTATTCATTTAAAAATATTTACATAAAACGTTATAAAAATCATAAATAAAATAATGATCTATAACTGTCATAAAGTTTTCATTTTTCTATTTTTTTTTCTTTTATTTGTTTTTATACCCGGTATTAAAGTAGTTATTTGTATACTTTAATAAATAATTTGACAAGATAATTTTGCGGGAAGTTTCTAGTAGTTCTTAATGTTTACCTGGTTACCTTTGAACATTTGGCCGACTTATTCTACCTGTATGAGCGACAGCTAAAACGTTATTCGTGACTCCCTTAACCGTTTTGTGGCGTGGTTCCTTATCATAGTTAAGTTGTACGTTAATGTTCAAAGCCCATGGTGTAAGGCCGAAAACCGATCTAGCACTCCTTACCGAATTCAGTAACGATTTTTGTTTGAAAATAATCACAACAGGTTATATTTCAATAAATAACTTTAACTTGTTTTTTTCTAACACGAGGCTTAGTAGTTTCTAATATATGGTATATCGGTTTATTTCCTATAGCCACTAGAGACGTAGGATGGTCCCGCCTGCGCTTTGACGGGAACTTATGAAGCAGTTACAAAAAAAATTAGAAAGGCAATTAAACATGCACATGCGTGAAATTTAAAATTTCGTTTTTAACCAATGACAACAACCAACATGGCCGCTGACAGATCGTCAATAAGTTTGCAAGCGGCATTTTCCCGACAATATCCCGAGATGCTATTAAATGTTTGGGCAAAAAGGAGTTAAAGTTCTCCAAACGACATACCTTTTTTTCGACAGGTCTACCTCGCTTAGGTTTCTCTTTGTAACACTCAATAAATAATAGATTAGCAATTCCAGAAACGTACTTTGGTACTTCGTGCATACAAATGCTGAACGCTGACGGATTTGTGTAGAGTTTCATCTGTGAGATTCCTCGATTATTAGTCCATGCAATGAAATTGGTTAGATGTCGATTTCAAAAACAGAAACGCATTTAAAATCATAATTTTGGCAGCAATCGGCAAATGTGACCCAGTCTTTAATCCATGTGAATTTCACGGATGTTCACCATCAACCACAATCTCAACTTCTTCGTCGTTGGACATCGCAAGTCACTAACAAAATTGAATAATATTAGTATTTGGTGAGAAACAAATTGTAATAAAATGTATTTGGTATATGGTAAGTTGGTAATTACCAATTACAAACACAAGACGGAATGGAAATAACTCCAAAGCTTCGACGGCTAAGAAAATACTGTTTCAACAACCAATAGCAATTTTTTTAATATTGGAGATCAACCTATCTAACGGGCAAATTCAACCTGAAATCGAGCTACCTCTGGTAGGGAATTAATATAACAGTTTAATCAAAGAAAATTTACCCGCTCTTAAAATGCAACAGAAAATTACAGTTCTTGTGGTACACGTGCTGAAAAGAATGTTCTCTCCCGTTTTCCAACAGGCGGGTCTTAAACTCATTCCGAAGTGAAAGCCATAAAAACGGTATACGGTTTGGAGAACTCTAACTGTTTGGCAACATAACCGCAAAGTGCACGTTGGTGAGTAAAAGTTTACCGTATATTATTATCTAGTAGCTATATGGTTTGTGTGAATCCCCCAACGTTGACAGTTGCCAACTAAAATGACCGCTTTTGCGTCGTCACTAATATAGCCTATGAACGCTGCCCGGTCGTAATACGCATGCGTTCGAAACATTAGTATCGAAATTACACGACGGTCGATACGTCGAGAACGTGCGACGCAATATATCACCGCTCCGAACCCATTACGTAAAAATATCGATTGACTTGTTGCGGTGAAATTTCACACGGAAAATGGTCATCCGAGAAGGCGGCCAAAAGAAAGCGAATATCCGAGGTGACCGTGATTATTTCTGCGGTTTGACAGATGTAGGCCTCCCCAACCAAAGTTACGTAATTCTAATTTCGCCAATCGATGCGGACTATCGTCGCTTTTCGATTTATAAGCGTCGAGGTTCGGCTTTCGGCCTGCGAGACTGATACGGTTCCCGCAAGGCTTCCGCTATAAATATCAATTTGTGTGTGCGTATATAATTACGAATAAAGGTGAACGTTCGGAAAATGCGATCGGGAATTGAAAGGCTGACTAACGACAATCGTGAACTTCAAAAATCCATTTTTGAAAAACCTTCACTGCGACAGATCGTCTAAAAAAAGGCCACTAATGGACGAAAACTATAAATAAAGCTGGCAACGTTGTCATCGGTGACTTTCCATGCCGCACCTCAATATGTATTAGAAGTTTAGGTTGAATATTAAAAAGAAAAAATGCCAGAGGTGATCCTGAGCAGTATGCATTTTGAAAATGTCGTATATCATAGAGTTTGACACGTCCTTTTGTTTTATTTATTAGTATTAATTAAAATTTTTGCTAAATTATGTCTTATCGTATTGCGTTTCAACGGTATAAAAAATGATTTAAAAATTTTTTGTAGTAATCATTTTCTTTAATTTAGAAAAGAACTTATCTAAAAAAGGTCAAAATTTCAAAACAAACGACGCGCATTTTGCTAAAGACACAAACGGCATCTTTTTTACATTGTTGGCTGTATTTAGTAGCAATATTACAGCAGTGATGTGACTGAAAGCTTGGAGAATAGCAGTTTTGGTTAGTTTAGGACTTCCAAAATGGATACTTTTGAAAATCACCGTGTAACTTGAAAACTAGGTGATGTATCAAGATGAGGTTTTCGATACATGTGCTAGGAATTCCCCATATCATCAAATCCCGTTATAATCGGCCTACCATAACCGGCAAAATAAAGTTTCCACGGACTTATTGTACGAAGTGTGTGGTGAAGTAAGGTGGCTTTTGTAATTGGACTGGCTACATACATTCTATCTTCGATATTTGTTTGTTATGTTGGTACATATGTCCTTAACGTATGCTCACAGTTTCTGTCAGTTCGCACCTTTACGTTTTTGTGTGAGACAGAAGCGTTAGACGTGTTTTGTGTGCTCGGCGAGTTTCTGCTGTCAAAAAAAAAAACAACAAAGAATACGAAGCAATACGAAGGAAACGTCTGGAATTGTGGGAAAAAAAATCATCGATTCGTTACTTGCGTCTAACTTTTTGGCCAAAAACAAAACCACAATCATGCCTCAGCCACCATATTTACCGGATATATGCCCTGCAATTGTTTCCTATTTCCAAAACTCAAGAAACCCATGAAAGGAAGGAAATTTGGAACAAATGAGGAGATAAAGAAAAAATCGGCGGAAAAACTCAAGGCTATACCAGAAGTGCTTCGACGATTCGAAAAAACGTTGGCACAAGTGTATTATATCGTGGGAGGGGGGTAACATTCATTTTGATGAATAAATAAATACCTTTTGATAGAACTTAAAGGTCACCTCACTTTTTGATCACACCTCGTACAAATAAAATATATAAATATCATTATGTATTTTTTTAGAAATAAAAAAATAACCAGTATTTTGGCATTCCTTATCTATTAATTTAGTTGCCACTAATATTTAAGAAGAAAATCTAACATTTTTTTCCTTTTTTAAGAAATAAAAAATATCGGTTAAATGATGTCCTTGTTGAAATAGTACCCTTAAAACAAATACGTACTGCATATCAAAGAAACTTCCACGGGTTAGTGTAATACTATTTACAAATCTTTTGGATTCCTCCTGCGTCGGTTTCAGTTAATCTCTGAAGAAGCCAACAGGATGGTGAGCGAAACGTCAGCAAGTTTAATTAACCAACAACCGGTGGGGAGGAGTAAATAGTATAATATCACTTGGTATACGCTCTGCTCTACGTTTTTTTGAAAGATAATATTTGATCACTAAATAATAGTGGCTAAATAATTTCAGTAAAAATATATCAGTAAACAAAGTAATGGAACAACGAGAACACATCGCTTTTGTAAAATGTTGTAAAATTTGCCTCATTTTTTGTGACGCCGTTCCATGCTAGTTGAGATTAAGTTCACTGAGAAGCTATAAAAACAAAGTTGAAAAGATTTTTTTTACATTTCATCACCTTCTCAAGGACCTTGGATTAACTAAAAACAACCAGTACACCATTCAAGGATCGAACGTAACAAAACGATTTTTCCAGTTAATGAAATTCGCGAGGAATGTCTTGGGCGAGAAACTGTTCAGCATGGTGATGAAGGCGACCTTCTACGGCCATTTCGTCGCCGGCGAAGACCAGTACAAAATCAGACCGACGTTGGAGAGGCTACGCTCCTTCGGCGTCAAACCAATACTGGACTACTCGGTAGAGGAGGACATCACGCAGGAGGAGGCGGAAAAGCGGGAGGTCGAGTGAGTAAATATATGAATCTCAAAGTCGAGGGACAAATGGCAAAAATACTCTTTATAACGATCTATGAAGTAATGTACAGCTATAAGCCAGGCATTAAGGTTTCCCATGATGCCGGGTTGCCAAATTGGGCAACTGTTTCAGTGAACTTATTTTATCCACTAACACTACAAAAAAGAGTTGCGGAAAAACCCCGAAAAATAAGTTGTTTCAATATTAGCATTGACAAGCATCATCCAAAATACGATTTTATTTTATTATTTTGTCAATCAACACTGCAAAGGAATCCTGAATAGTTTTTGGAAAAAACTTTGTTAATCACATAAATACAAAGCCCAAAAAATAGTTTTTTAGTACCAACATTGCTAATTTCCGATATTCAATTTGTTTTCAATACAATACAAAAAAGGTGACTCACCAGTGCGACTACTTCCCTGCACCACCGCTTTTAACAAAGGGACTACCACTTGTATATACGCGTTTCAATAAATCAGTTTCCAAAATTGACCTTCAACCTTGTCGTACCACACCAGCTACGAAAACTTCCAGTTCATGATTTATACATTTTACTGTATTTCTTACAATACGTTCTACGAAATTTCAATCAAAATGGTAGCAGTAAAATGACACCCTGTAGAAATTAGAAAAACTTTTTTAGAACAGCGTTTAATATGGAGATAATTCCGTTGAAAAAATGTCTGCCCGGACCTACGGGGCTAATATAGTTTGATCCGTTTTCTAGAGCATCTATACCGGCAGCCGGCGATCAAATGGAGGCCGGCTCCCTCAAACAGTACCACGTGGATAAAACGTTCGCGGACAGACGGTATAAGGTTCAGTCCGCGAGGACTTACTTTTACCTTAACGAAGCCACCTGCGAGAGGAACATGGAGACGTTTATCCGGTGCCTGGAGGCGATAGCAGGTGAGCCCGCATGGACTGAACTGACTCGGATATTTTATTTTCCTTATTCGATAATGCACACGTTCACGGAAAATAATGCAATTCCCAATAGAAATTGTTGTTTTCTTTTTTGTATTTGCGGTGGGAGATTTTTTTTTAGTTAACCCGGTTTCGTAATTTGGGTCAGTAATCCTGCAATCTCCTAAAAAATCTGATTTTCTGATCTCAAAATTTAAAACACGACGTTTTGTAATGGATATCTCAGATATGTTTCTATAGACAGTTGACTGAGTTTCCCTGAGTGGTGACTTCGTCCTATAGCAATGAACAGTATTGTCAAATTTCGTCAAAATCAGACACTGCTGAAAGATGAAAAATTATGACGCCCTAGATCTTGAAACCCCATTTTTTTTTTAATTTTCAATAACTGGTTTGCAAAAAAAAATAGGTAAAAGAATTTTTGATAGCTTCTTCATTGGGAAGAAGCACTATTTTCCGTGGCATATTACATGTTTCACCAGTGTGCTGTGTGGGCATGGTGTTAGCATTAGTGCGCCCATGTGTTTGGAGGAGGTCTAGTTGCTTAGGAACAAATTAATCTATTCAACAAAACAAAAAGGTGATACCTGATAAGAGGTTATATAGGGGTGCCATTTTTATTTAATTTTCGGTAATAACATGGTATTTGAGGTTAGTTTTTAAAGGTATGTGCTTTTGTCCTTTTGCTGTTTTATATAATTAAGATTAGTTTTGCGTAATTTTTTTTTCGGTTAATTTTTAAATTTGAAAAAAAAAATTTTTCTAGTTGACTATTAAAATGTACCGTCTCCACTTCGGAGGTTGGCTATCATCATTGCTATTTTGATTTTGGAAGCTGCGGCTTTAAATAGGTCAGATGAAGTAACATTAAACCATTTTCGTAGGTTTCTAAGCCATTCTTCTTCTTCCAATAGATCTTCTTCCCACAATTCTTCCCTGGATTATGAGTTGTAAAATTTCATACTTTGGTCCTCTCATGATGTGGCCGAGATATTGCAATTTCCTTTCTTTCACTTCCCGTAGGATCTCTACGCCTTTCTTTATTCTTCTCAGAACCTCCACTTGGTCACATGTTCCGTCCGTGATATTCTCAGCATCCTACGGTATGCCCACATCTCGAAGGCTTCCAGTTTCCGCTCACAAAACAGGTTGAGGGTCTACGCTTCCACACCATACAAAAGGACCGGGAATACATAACACTTGAGCATTCGAGTTCTCAGACCTAGGCTCAAATCGCGACTACAGAGCAGCTTCTTTATCTTCACAAAGGCTGCACGGGCTTTCTCAATGCGGATCTTTATTTCCGAAGAATAATCCACATTACAGTCGACACTCGTACCCAGGTAATCATATCTCTCGACTCTGTCCAGCTCTTGGTTTTCAACATACAGGTGTTCATGGAGCACTTTGGTTTTGGTGACAATCATGTACTTGGTCTTCTTAACATTGAGTGTCAGACCATATTCTCGACGAATCGAGGTTATAAAACACTCTAAGTAGGCTCTAGTTTTTATGCAATTTATAACAAACAATAATCAATCGGTTTATCTTTAAAAATTAAAAAATTTAGTTTGAGAAATTCCATGTAATCCCAATAAATTAAATTTTTTAACGGCTCTTTATTGTGTCAAATATTGAAACGAAAAGGTTCGCACTCCTCCAAATGCACCCCAGCCCCATCTCCCAAAATAAAATCCTAATTAAATAATTCATTAATACCTATTTAATTTTAATTTATTACTAACGACATTTGTTTTTTATTATTAAAAGTTCGCCTAGCATCCAATTAATATCAATAATAATAATAATAATAATTTTGAGCTTACAGGAAATCAAAATATAAAAATAAAACTTTATTTCTGTAGGAGGGTTGTCGTTTTTTTTCTGTACTGAACTTTTGCTCAATATCAGCAAGTCGATGTCATTAGTTTTCAAGTTACCAAGTACTACTTATATTAGGCAACAAGTTTGATAAAAGCCAATTTTGTCATTTGTTCCATTTGCCACGAATGGAGTGACTGCTTAATAAACAATTGTCTTTCTCTACAACATAAGATTTTTTGTGGATTTTTTCGGAACAAATCTCTAAAATTTTAATTTAACAAATTTAAAAATCTGCTAGTGTTATGTAGTCGGTACGTCGTTTTGTTGGAAAAGTAATAATAGCAATTTAATAATTACAAATACGTTTAGATGGGTAATAATGACTACAGTGGCGTTTGTCAAACTTCAAAATCAATAAAAACTAAAAGTTCAGATTTTCACGAAATTATATATTTTGACATGACAATTGTCAAATCAACCTTTAGTTCTTATTTACTTTGATAAATGGATTTTCATCAAGTAAAAGCCACCTCAGTTCCGTATTTGTCAAGCTTGTTGCATAATATAAGGTTGTTCGGAAAGTCATTTCGTTTTTTCCCGTCAGGGGAATTAATTACGTTTTTTCGAAACCAACTTCACACTTAAGCCGCATAACCATTATATGTCTTGAGAGCTGATATTGCAAGGCTTGTGTGTGAAAAAGTTCTATTAATTCTACGCAGTAGTTTTTGGTTGGTGCCCTATTAAATATGGAGAACAATAAGCAGCATTTTCGTCATATTTTACTTTTTTACTTCAGAAAAGGTAAAAATGCTGTCCAAGCGAGAAAAAAATTGACGGATGTGTATGGAGAAGGCGTGTTAACAGTACGCCAGTGCCAGAACTGGTTTGCAAAATTTCGATCCGGCAATTTTGATGTCGAAGATGCACCACGGTCTGGAAGGCCGGTCGAAGCTGACAAAGATGCGATAAAGGCATTAGTTGATGCAAATCGAGAGATCGGTGAGAGATTAAATTTGTCGAATTCGACTGTTTATGGCCATTTGAAAGGCATGGGCTTAACCTCGAAGCTCGATGTGTGGGTGCCCCATGTCCTTACGGAGCGAAATTTCTGTCGTCGCGTTGACGTGTGTGATTCGCTCCTCAAACGTCAAGAAAATGATCCATTTTTGAAGCGGATTATTACTGAGGACGAAAAATGGGTTGTATACAACAATGTAAAACGCAAGAGGTCATGGAGCGGAAAAGATGAACCGGCTCAAAGCGTGTCAAAAGCCAACATTCACCAAAAAAAGGTGATGCTCTCGTTTGGTGGGATGTCAAAGGAATCGTTTTTTTTTTAGCTTTTGCCGGACAATACAACGATTAATTCAGAAGTCTATTGTCATCAACTGGACAAATTGAATGATTCACTTAAAGAGAAGAGGCCCGAATTAATCAACAGGAAGGGTGTAGTGTTCCACCAGGATAATGCGAGACCTCACACAAGTTTGGTCACTCGCCAAAAACTTTTACAGCTTGAATGGGACGTACTGCAACATCCACCATATTCTCCAGATCTGGCGCCTTCCGACTACTATTTGTTCCGGTCCCTGCAAAATTTTTTGTATGGCAAAACTTTTACCTCAAATGAAGATGTCAAAAACCACCTGAACCAGTTTTTTGCCAGCAAGGACCAAAACTTTTCTGAGAGCGGAATTATGTTACTACCAGAAAGATGGCAAAAGGTGTTGGACCAGAATGGCCAATATATAATTTAATAAAATATTTATTCATTATACGAAAACTGTCTTTCATGTTCCCCAAAAAAAAAACGAAATGACTTTTCGAACAACCCAATATTTATTCTTGTGACTTAAAAAACAAGGAGTAATATCCACATTACTCACTACCATAAAAAATTAAACTTTACCGACTTAATCTCCAAAAAAGTGATCCATTTTTCCATACTTCGACCGGTTATTTTGAAAAGGGTGCAAGTCCATTAAAAAAAAAAAGAAATATCGCGTAATTCATGCTTAATTAAATCTAAATTTTTTTGTGTATAACTAGTCCGTCCGTCTTTAATTTCTTAAAAAATTCCCATGAAAGTCGTGTAAGTCGAATTGACAGTTATAACAGATGGTTGCCGAACAGTATTCTGTTATGTTGCATATGTTTTTTCAAATGGATAACTTTATGTTAACATTAGATAGTGACATAGATAAGAACAAATGGTAAATCAATATTATTATATATCGATTGAAAATATTTATTTTACTTAATTATAAATAAATTTACGCAGACATGAATTTAAACAGAAGAATAATCGAAGATTCGGATGGTGAGAACAAATCCGCCATGAACAACAAAGTAACGTAAAAAGAGAAGAAGAATACTAGAGGTAGAATCTTCACCAGATTAGGATATTGTTAACGAGAACGTTGATTCTACGGAACAAATTAAAGAAAAATATTTACAACAAATGAACAAAATTAAGCCGAATAATGGACAAACGTATTATACAAAAAGAGCAAAATTCATTTGAGTAAAACAATTTGAATCAAAAAATTGTAATTGCTCAAAGAAATGTATTTCAACGTGTTAGTGAAACCCAATGTAATGAAATGTTCGATAGGACTAGAAATAATTCGGCCCCTAAAAAGGCATATGCATATAAATTGGTGGAAATATAAGTTAATACCATCGGTATCTTGAAATTTTGACAATGCACTTAGTGTCTATAATTAATTTTTGTCTTGTCGTGAGTATTTGTAAGTGGTTTTTGATTTTCTAAAATTGAAATTGAACGATTTTTGCAGTTGCCTAATTTTTAAAGTGATGTAAGTCCATCAAATTAAATATTTATAAAACAATAGAAACATTGACTTCATATAATTTGCCAATTTTTTTTTTAATTAAAAGATACGCTAACCTCTAATTTTCTCTAAGCAAGAGAATATTGACCACTTCCAAAATAAACAGTCCTTTTATAATTGTCGAGACCTCCTAGAAACGTCCAAATTTACCCACCTCGGAAAACAATTACAAACGTGGTGTCTATTTAAAATGTGTCACCTGTTGTTTTTAAATTATTACAGTCTAAATCGGGACCACCAGTTGTTATATAAAAAATAGATTGGTGGGTCTATAGTTGTGACATTGCGAGGTGTCGATATCAACATGAATGTCGAACCGTCTATAAATTGCGCTGCAAGGTGCCGTTCTTTTCCGTCGCTTGCGGCCCAATTGTTTTTGTGCCAAAAACAATAAAGTAAAAACGAATTTACGCCGCATTATTTCTCAAAATTTTCTATTAGTCAAAGCGAATCCGTGAAGACGAGCACCGTGTTATATTACGTATACCTATACGCAGCGCCCCAGAATTTCCGTTTGAAAAAAAAAAACACTTTAACGTTTGTTTTTTGGAGTCTCGCCAAAGTTTCTGCCCTACACCAAAAATATCTCGCACCAGATTGCATAATACAATATTTGGTTTAGAAACTAAGCGAAAAGAAACCCTAACTATATATTTTTTAAGTTTTTGAAATCTTGTCCATGTTTGCTGCAAGTGAATTTTTACTGACACTTTTTTATTATTTAAAACAGTCAATGCGAACGCGAGCGAGTGTTTAATAAACGAGTGAGTTAAAAAATTTACCGAACGTGTTGCATACTATATTTTTTCTACGACCGTCAGAATTGACAAATGTCAAAATTGAAGGCGTGGGAAATATTTCCGAATACATCCGATCGCTCCCAAACCCGTGCGGTAAAATCCCGGAAATGGCCGAAGTGGCTCGGATTCGTGCGAAAGGAAACTGACGTGGTAAAGTGACGCTTCCCGCACGCTAGGTCGGTTGTGTAATTAGTGAAAAATTCCATTGTGTATTTGATTTATTTTTCTGTTAAATTGTGCTCGAAACACTCGGTTTCTGGCTATGCTGAGAGCATTTTTATCGAAACTTCATTATTTTTTTTATTTTTGTTCCGCTCTTCATCGGCAAATCTATATTTTTCGCGAAAGTGAGGACATTTGATAATGAAGATTCACTGATCGTTTCCGTGACCATGTAATAGGAAAAAATCAAAATAAACACACTACACTAACACTAATACAGGAGATTCGTCATCCAAAAAAATAAACACGCCGTATTTTTGAAACCAAACCGAACTTTTGTTCCTTATTTTGGATGGCGAATTTGCAGATTTGCGTTTTCGCAGGTTTTTTAAAATATCCTTTATAGAAACAACAACTTTAAAAAGTCGCAGTTTGTTCAAATAACGAAGGAACAAAAAGCTCCCACACTTTTTGACGCCACCATTTTGAAAATGCTATAGCAAAAAATAAACAATATTTAAAGCCACAGACATTTCTATGAAAGCTGTTTGTTTATTTGTATAACTTTGGGGGCCTTTTTTCCAAAAAATACCATATGTCAAGAAAATGTTATTTTGTTTGTTCGATGTTAGGCATGATTTTTAAATGAATTGATTTTTATGAAATTAAATGTGATTTGGCAACACTGGATAATATTAATTAGTTTGGTTGTATTGGTTGTCGTGCTGCTACTGTGTTCGCGGCTGTTGTCTTCGTTGTTGTGCATTTCTACTGTTCTAGAACGTATAAATATTTAAAGACATTCCGTGAACAATCGAAATAATTTTTGTTATATCTGCGGTAGTTGTCATAGTAAAGCAAAGGCAAACTATAACGTCTTTTGTGAAAAATGTATACCACCGCTTATTTTGATGTAAAAATTGGCGACCAAGGCAAGTCCTTGGCTCCTCATACTGTTTGTTCCGTTTGCGTTGAAGCATTAAGAAACTGACAAAAAGGTAGGAAGAAATGTTTAAGCTTTGGTTAGTTCCTATGGTACGATGAGAGCCTAGGAATCACAGCGATGATTGTTATTTTCCTTAGTTTAATGTTCAAGGATTGAACAGAAAAAATATGTGTACCCCAATTTTGACGCTTCTATTCAACCAGTTCCTCACGGACCAGATATGACTTAGATTTCGCAACAGATTTCAGAAAGCCCGAAGTGTTTAAACAGAGCGAATTAAATGATTTAATTAGAGTTTTGCACATTCCAAAGGATGCATCCGAGTTCTTAGCGTCCAGACTTATTGACAAGCATTTACTGTCGTCACATCAAATGTGCCGAATGGGATAGACATTGGACTCAAATAGAATGACCCTCTAGAACAAGCCTTACACCTGGAAGCAAAAATGTATTAAGGGATAGCTTAATTGGCCCCAAATAGTATATTATGCAACAAGTGCGGTAAACGGCATTTGACTCGCGAGTTTGACACGAGCGGAGCGAGTGTTTAATGACGAGTGACTACGACCGATAGTTTTTGGATATATTTTCGCCAAATAACACGAATACATTCACTGACATGAACGTCAGAACTGACAAACGTCAAAATTCAAACATCTGATTGCTCCCAAACCCGTGCGGCAAATCCCGGAAATGCCCGAAGTGACTCGGATTCGTGGGAAAGGAAACTGACGTGGTAAAGTGACGCTTCCCGCACGCTAGGTCAGTGGGTAGGTATTTTACAGACGGGAGTAGAAAAAAATTTTTGTGCCTCCTCTTCATATCAAACTTGGCTGGAACAAGCAGTTTATTAAAGCCCTAGACAAAAATGGGCAGTGTATTTTTATTGGGCCGCAGATAAGAACATTATGCAAATACAAGGATTTTCGAGAGAAAATCCCCCCTGAGTTTCATTTAAAGAAGTAATTGATAAGTTTCTTGGAAACTCTAAGGACGAAAACTACGAAAGTATTGTTCAAAATATGTTACAATACTTTCGTCGTCTTAAGTTGTTATATGAGTTTTGAAAGTGTATGGCGGACTACTGCTGGATGTTAAAACGGGATATGGATGTTAAAAACACTCAGCCGAATGTCAGGACAACGTAGCTTTCTGGCAAAAAGACGAAAATTTCACTCAAAAAGTCTGAGTACAGTTTTTTTTTTTTACTTTCTTTAACTAAGATTCCTTTTTACTGAATAAAAAAATAAGTTTTTTTTTCTCCTTCAATATTTGCAAAAAAAAAACTTACGTGATACAAAAAAAAGTATAGCATTTTTGAAATCAACCTACCAAAATTATATAAAATCAGTTTTCAAATAAAAAACAGCTGTCAAAAAGTTTAATTTTTTAGACCCTGTGTATTATATTATATATTTTTAGTTTTTATTTTTGATTAGCCGATTTAAAAATTTAGGCGATTAGACAGATGAGCCGCCGCCTCCGAACACGTCGGGCGTTTTTTTTTTAACTTAGCGGGCAATTAGAGGTTCACTTGTTTCCGATTTTCGTGCTATTGTTTTTGCAAATTTTTATAACCGGACAATATATTTTTTTTGTCTAGACTATCAGAAGACTCCAGGTAACGTACAAATGCGCGCGAAGAGCCCCCGTACGTCAAACACACATTAACACATAAGGAAGCTTTTGACGTCGCCGCCTAAATCGGTATCCAAATTTAAAATACGCCCGGATAGATACTCGGTATTAAGGATAAGTATCCTTCGCTGACTCCCACTCTAGATGCGACAAAATAAGTAGAAAACGTTTTTGTTTTAAGCCAAACGATTTATCGACAAGAATACATTATAATTCGATTGATATCCCACTTCTGATATATCAAGTTTTATTCAAAAAATTAAGTCGCCAGTGATAAACATCATTTTTATTTGTTTCTACATATGTACATGTATTTGATGTAACATATATCCAAAAGTAAAACGTGGGTATATTTGGGAGACTCTCTTCTGAGACGCCTCCCGTTGGAAAGGCTTTCAATACATTTATTTGTCCGCTGTGCTTTTTATGATTAATTTTTCGTTGTCGCTTTTGCCATGGATTTATTTTTGAATGACGAGAACCGTTACCAAGAATAAAGTAAATTAGATAAATTAAAGGGGTCGAAAAGTGAGAAATAATAGACATTTATCTTATACTACTATTCCATATAACGTATATATTATATTTTTATAATTTAACACTTTGTAAACAAAATCTCTTAAATTGAAGTTCTCTTTGGAAGAACTAGCAATTTTGAGAAAGTAAGCAAGCTTTTTAAAATGTTTTATCTAATCTGTAAAATCGCTTAAAATTTCAAATGCATAAATGTATCGTTCTCCTTTTTTTGGCTTTGCTTATATCGTTTTTTAAGCTAAAATATGCAATGATTCGGAAACAATTGGTTAGTGAAGCCTTTTACGTTCTCTTTGTTATATTGCCGAAATAAAAAGGGAGATTTCCACTTGTTTCTGTAAAATTAGGGAAAAATATGTTGCGAGGTGTTCCAGCATAAATGCTCGTCTCTTCTGTTGCAGGCGCCACCTATGGCACCGGTATAACGGCGATCAAACTTACCGCACTGGGTAGACCGCAACTCTTGGTACGTAACCGCACGGCGCGCCTACGCGCATATCATACCGGGTGGCGCAAAAGTATCAAATATTGGCCGCAAGTTCGTTATTTGCAAACTTAAAAACAATACTTGTTATAAGTTATAAGCGGTTTTTTGCTCTTTCGCTGACAAAGTGCAGTATAATAGTTTTCCCTGCGGCTCGGCTCATAAAAATTACCGCAAGTTATGTGGCAAAAGGAGGGCGGCGCCGGGTTTAGTAATTCAGCGCGACCACAATTATAAAATACGAACAAACTACGTTCTACCCGATAAAAATGTTAGAATTAGTCTCACGCGATTCCTTCTCCAAAACCGTTTATAAAAATAATTCCAATAATCGTGTGTTCGAACAGGACTTTTATTTTAAATTTAATCAATTGTTTGCGAAAATTGCAAATTTACCTTCATACACTACGGACTGCGTTCCAGTTAAAATTTAATTCATTTTCAATATTATATCCGGTGACGAGCCATTTGGAATAGAAGCGCAGTTTTTTCTGTTATATCGGACGTCAGCTCCGCATTCTGCGTCGAATTGATTAATTTTTTTTCTTATCAAAAATACAAAAATTTTATAGAATTTTTATTTTCAATTTTTTTTTGCACTACCAAATTGACAATCGTTATTTTAGCAAAAACATTGTGACAAAGTGAAATAAAATGACCACCATTTGGTTTTATAGTGTAGTTCAGAAAGGTGTAGAGTAATAAAACCTTATTAGGTATCTTTATTTCCTATATTCACGTTTAAATTTTCAGTAAAATTACTAAAACCTAAGGAACTTACTTTGTTCTGCCATGGATTTCGCATTATAATTTTTCTTATGTTGTAATAATCTAAATAATTTTAAAAAAGTTGATTTTTATTGTCCTTACAATAATACACAATACAATACAATACAATTAATTATTAAAAAGTCACATTCAAATAGGACAACTAAACAGACCTTGTTTATCAATCAATGGTAATTTTCCGTTTGGCACGACTATTAGTCATTTCCTCCCTTTTAAGGCACCTTAATACTCGTTGACGTTACTTGTTGACGTTGATATATTGTCTTGCCACATTTTTGGTTATAGGTAACTTTCATTATTCCAAATCTCATCAACATACTGCAACATTGTACTCTCTTTGGTTCCGCTTTATACTTCTGAAGTATTTTTGTCGCCAGCAAACTGTTTACAACTATACGAAGTCTATTTGTTAGTATCTTATTTACAAGAAGGATCGAAAAAAAAATATTGTTGCAAGTTCAGCTACGAGTTTCTGAAATAGGCTATTACTTTTCTACTTCTTCATATTCCATGTTGTCTGTTTCCTAAGTTTATCTCAAATATACGTAAAGAATGTACGAGGTGTGTTCAAAAAGTATCGCGAATTTTGTTTTTTCAAAAATTGTTTATTTATTCATGAATATCTATATTGTCCCCTTCAAAGTAATCCCCATGAGATATTATACACTTATGCCAACGGTTTTTACAATCTTCGAAGCACTTCAAAAAATCATTTTTTTTTATCTTCTTCAGCTCCTCCCTCTTTATCTCGTCAAGAGAAGCGTAACGTCGTCCTTTCATGGGCCTCTTCAGTTTAGGGAACAAGAAAAAGTCACAGGGGGCCAGATCTGGGGAATACGGTGGCTGCGGCATCATTAGTGTGTTGTTTTTGGCCAAAAAGTCGCGCACAAACAACGATGTGTAAGCAGGGGCGTTATCGTGGTGCAAAAGCCAATTTTTGTTCTTCCACAAATCCGGGCGTTTCTGGCGGATTGCTTCGCGCAAATTGCGCATAACTTGCAGGTAATATTCCTTATTGACCGTTCTTTCCTGTGGCAAGAACTCATGATGCACCACGCCCCTGCAATCGAAGAAAACTGTCAGCAAAACCGAACTTGGCGCGCCTTTTTCGGTCTTGGTTCGTGCGGCAGCTTCCATTGAGATGATTGAGCTTTGGTTTCCACGTCATAACCATAAACCCACGATTCGTCACCAGTTATGACCCTCTAGAGCAAATTTGGGTCGTCGCGGACAGAGTTTAAGATCTCATTAGCAATGTTCATTGATAAAAATCGAATGGCACGAGCCAATCGATATGTTTAGGTCCTCACCAACTTCTCTAACGGTGATTCGACGATTGGCCAATACCATTTTCGCCACTTCATTAATATTTTCGTCTGTTGTTGAAGTGCTCGGGCGTCCGGCACGCTCTTTGTCGTTCACATGTTCTCGGCCTTCTGAGAACATTTTGTACCACCGATAAACGTTGCTTCGGTCCAAGGTAGCTCCTCCGTATGCCACAGTCAACATTCGGAATGCATCCGCGCACTTAATTTCGTTTTTCACACAAAATTTGATACAGGTTCTTTGATCCATTTTTTTGAATAGGTAAAAATCGAAGACGATCCAAAACACGTGCAAGCAAAGTAGCTGTCAACAATTAAATGAACATTCAAAATGGCCGAGCTTGTCGGCATAAATGAGAGACATGAGTACCAACATGTTCAAATGGACCGCACTGTATATGACGTCCTTATTAAGCATTTGCCATATTTTTTGATATTATTCCGCCACTATACGCAAACAAATGCTATAGCCTCGCGTTTTCTGCGCAGCTCCAGCTGTCCGAAGTAATTATGCGCACGCGCAAGTTCATGGCCGAGATAGTCGGCGGCGAGGGCAACGTGCTCACGCACCACGTAAGACCGGAAGATCTCGAAGCGAAATTCGACAAAATTCAAGACAAGGAGTCGGTGCGCAAGTTCCTCAAACAGGTCACCTACGATAAGGAAGGGTGAGTCTGTCCCTTCCGAGATCTCCAGTACCCCACCTCGTCCCCCACACCTCCCAACAAACTATCCCCGGTCTCACGGATACTTAATTCTTTCTAGAAATTCGAACGGGGGCGGTTAGTGAGTATTATACCACCTTGACGGTAGTTAATACATGCGCGTTGTATATCACATTGTTTTACTTTCCTGTTTGGGCGATAAGTGCTCCGACGACGAAATGTTTATTTCGAAAGGTGTATTTTGGGTGTGTGAGCTCGGCCTAAAGGCAGGTATAAGGAGTAATGAGTAGTAACCTTCAACAAGACGTAACAAGGGAGCTAAACTTGTCAAAAAACAAAACCATTAATAGTATATTATACAACAAGTTTGATAAAGGTCAGTTTAGATACGTGAGTTATATGAAGAATAACGCTTATATTGTTCCTATTTATCAAATAAATATAAAGTTTTATACTCTATCGTGGCTTTCAAGAAAACAGGTTCACGTAGAGGAAGAGGTAGCTAGTGTGAGAAGACCTACAGGAAGAAAAAGCAAGAAAACAAAACGAAGAAACCAGGAACAGAAGCATGAAAATAATTTTAATTATTGGCGTAAACTACCCTTAAAAATAAGAAATTTAAAAGATGAAAGCGACTTTTGGAAATTTATGTAAATTTTCGATACTAGGGAACTGATAGAGGAATTTTCAAATCAAAATTTAATTATTTGAAAACTAAAAAACCTTTCGTAATATTATAAAGTATTTTATCGCCTTTTTTATTAAATACTTTTTAATAAATAATTATAATTATTATATATAACCTTATAGATAGGAGAGAGTGGGGCACGACGGCCAGGAGCTTCGCCAAAATTAGGGTAAATTTAGTTAAAATTGGTCAAAAATAAATCTACGCGATGGTTAAAGCCACAAAAAATAATAAAAACCTTAACTCCCGAAGTTCCAAACATGCAACCGAATTTACATTTGCATTTTCATTAAAGTTGGCCAACTTTTTTTTATTAACACTCTAGGTATGAAAAAACACTTTTTTGTACTTGCAGCAAAAACTATGATTTGTTCGAGAACAAGTTTTACAGAAAATGGTTAAAATACCTTCAAAATTAGCTGCGATTTAAGCGAATCAATTAATTAAAAGAAGTTATGGCTGTTTTTTTTTATTGGTAATAAAAATTAGTGGAACATATCCAACAACTTTATATTCCGGCAAAAGCCTCTGGGCCATAAAAGAAGCTCTGAAAATGTTAAGAAAAAATATATATTTTTAAATTATTTATCTAAAACGATCCGAAGTCGACGATGGGAATGTGCAAAAATAAAAGTGATATGAAAAAAGAAAACTATAAAACATCGATTGAATTGAGTAAATTGTTTAAATCGTTAATCAAAATTACGGTTCATTTTTTTGTTATAAACAAATAAGTCATCGGAAAATGATGCGATCGAAATGCCTATAACCTTAGGGAATAGCTGATATTCTTTGATGAATTAACACAAAACTGGATACGGTCAATGGAAGCGGACACAGTGGAAGGAACAAAATCAAAAATTCCCAGCTGTAGAACGAAAATTAAATAGAAGATTAATTAGAAGAAAATGTTAATTGGGTTTAAAAAAAAAATTGTTATTAAGCGGCTTTTTTAATTAATCAAATAAAACAAGTTATCAAAAAAAAACAAACCAGTAACAAAGCTCTCATAAAGTGAAACAAAAAAAATTAAATAGGAGACGAGAACTAGAACAAATTTTCATACTCTGACAGGTAAAAAATAGTTTAGATACATTAAATAGACACTTCGGTCCGTCGGATTTCTTGTCTGTCGCAAAACGTCCCCTTAAGCTAGAAACGCATTCGTGACGTCATCCCTTTCCCAAATAATACCGACCCCTCCCCCCCAAATCACCGGCCCGACCTAGACCCTTCACATCGCCGCTGTGTCGTTGTAGGTAAACGCTTGATGATCACGATTCCCTCTCTCTCTCTCTGTCTCTCGCAGCATCCTCCACTTGTTCCCGTGGTCGGGCATCATCGACGAGAACCAAGAATTGAGCACCACGTTCAGGGTGCCGGACCTGAAGACGGGCCGGATGGCCCGCTTGATCACTCAGCTGTCGCCCAAAGAGGAGGAGATGTTCAGGAATATGATCAGGAGACTCAATACCATCGCCAAAGTAAGGCTTATATCAAATTCGCGCTTTTTTTTTGTAAAAAAATCGATTATTATTATTAATAGTTGCCACACCGCGGAACCCCACTCTAGTTTCGAGCGCACACAACTATAGTTCAACAGTTTTTAAAGTATGTTCCCCTGCAAAATCTCTAGCATTTTGAGTGCACCTCCACAAGCTTCATCATTTCATGATTTCTGAACGTAACACCCACATCTCTTAATAATACGTTATCCAATTTTACATCATAAATAATATAATTCAAATAATTTAATTTATATCAAATATGTTCTCAATTAGTTGCTGGCAGTAATATATAAAAAAAAAAAAAGAAAGAGGCATCATCCGCGACAAAATATTTAAATAGTTGTAATTAAATCGGATGTCTAAGAAGAGGAACGGGAAAAGGGTTAATAATTATGGTAAACATAATGACCCCTAATGACCCACTGTGCGGCGTCAATTTTGTTTCGCAATGACGAATTTAAGTGAAAAAAATTCTATCATTCGTGCTGCCTATTATTTTATCGAGGTATTTTCAGGCGGCGCAGGAGATGGACGTGCGCATAATGGTAGACGCGGAACAAACTTATTTCCAGCCGGCGATCACGCGAATCACGCTCGAGTTCATGCGCAAATACAACAAGGAGAAGGCGATCGTTTTTAACACGTACCAGTGCTACCTGCGCAACGCCCTCTCGGAAGTGACGACCGATCTGGAACAGGCGAAACGTCAGAACTTTTATTTCGGCGCCAAACTGGTGCGCGGCGCCTACCTCGAACAGGTGAGCGACATTAAAGTTGTCCGCGGGAGGGCGCTACACGCGTTTTTTTTTTTAAGTGAAAGCAAATGCCAGTTTTCTTTTGAAAACCACAAATGTTGATATTAATAGTACGAACCGATTATCCGTGCGCGGGTTATCCGGACTGTAGATTATCGGTACCACGAGTTACCATTACGTATTAAAATTGTATTTTTTAAATATTATCGAAAACGCACAATCGCCCAGACGATTAAAAAATATCAATTTTAACGCAAACCAAATTGACTTTTTCAAAAGCTACATAAATATCCGCTGTAAAAGTCCGTTAAAATACCCAACGTGGAGTTTTTTTTTTTTCTGTTTACTGGATAAAATTTCAACCAAAAATATGAAAATTTTCAGAAATTTGATATAATAGGGGTGTATCGTGTATTTTTTTATATATAAGTAATAATAGGTGCATATTTAACTCGGGCTTCTTTGCTTTTTTTCTCTTTGAATCGTTTGCTTTTTACTTGTATGTCGCAGATACTGTATAACAAATAATTAATAAAGGACAATTATAGTTTAATCGAGGTAGTATATCCTCAATTTTGCCATTTGTGATATATTCTTTCAATGTATTATAATAAAACCATATTATTATCGTCATCATTATTATTATTTGCAATAAATTTTGTAATAAAAAAAATTACATATATATATATATATATATATATATATATATATATATATATATATATATATATATATATATATATATATATATATATATATATATATATATATATATATATATATATATATATATATATATATATATATATATATATATATATATATATATATACTCATTCTCACGTATTGATTCACGGATGGAAAAATGTGATGACACTATATTCCGGGATATCATCCGTTCGCTCGTTGAACTCCGACTGGAATCCTGCAAATCCTGCATCCGACTGGAATCCTGCAAATCCTGCATCCGACTGGAATCCTGCAGACGTTTCGCCAAAATCTCACTTGGCATCTTCAATGCTCGCGCTCCGAAAACACTTCAAAGACGGGATTCCAGTCGGATGCAGGATTTGCAGGATTCCAGTCGGAGTTCAACGAGCGAACGGATGATATCCCGGAATATAGTGTCATCATTATATTATATATATACATATATATATATATATATATATATATATATATATATATATATATATATATATATATATATATATATATATATATATATATATATATATATATATATATATATATATATACTTTGTATTGGAAATAGGTCTTATGTATTATATATGTTTGAAAATCTAAAAACACGAAGTTTGTGAGTTTCGGGAGAAAACTACGCCACTGGATCCTACGTAAAAAAACCCCATCCAAACCTTTTCGATAACTTGACGCACAACCGAACCGCAAATGCCATATCAATAATGGGACACACTGTACATTTGAGGCGCCGATCATTGTTTTAAATTTACAGAGAAGAGTAAACGGAACAGACTTTAAAAAAATAAATTATACAATAATAAATTAGGAAAAAAAGCTCTAAACTACGCGATTAGTGCTATTAAAAATAGCGATGTGCCGAGTACGGTTTGACTCGAGTCAGACTCGATTCCTGCTTTGTACTCGAATCAGAAAGAATCGATTCGTACTCGCAGACTCGATTCTATTCATGCGAGTCCAACTGACTAGAGACTTTAGTAGTCGAGTTTGGTCAACTCTTTCGTAGTCGTAAATAGTTTACTTAAGCAATGAAGTGGCGCGGCGGGCAAGTTTGAACCTGCAACTTTTTGTTTTGATTTCTTTGATTTGTGTTAGCTAGCAGTTATTGTGAGTACTGAGTATTTCAGAGTGACTTTATTTAATTGTTTATTAATACTAACTGTGTATAAAAAAATTTGATTATAATGCTTACTATATCTAGTATTAAAAGAATTGTTTAAAGCTGTCTCAAATTAATAGAATATTATCTAGACTCTAAGTTGAGAAATTTTTTAATTATTTTCTATGTTTTTTAATTATCTCCTTAGAATTCCTATGCTCTTTGTTTTTATTTAATGTTTATAATTATCTTTCATTAAAAATATTGATTTACCCATTATTATTGTGTCAATGCTTAACCCTCTGGACTAGAAATTCCAGACTCGAATCTTGGACTCGAATCCTGGACTCGAATTTCCAGACTCGAGTTACTAGACTCTAGTCGGCCCGAACTCGAGTCATATTCGAATACTAAACATAAAATTCGAGTACTGGACTCGAATCAGGGAATCGAGTGATGATTCGAGTACCATATAAACTGACTCGAGTCGACTCGATTCACCGAAACAGTGACTCGGTACAACTCTAATTAAAAAAATTATTTTATGGATCGGTATTAATGGGTGATTCCATTGTTGCATTTGACGTTTTCAGTCTGTCGAATAATATATCATTCTAAAGAAAACGGCACGGGTTACATCTATTTTATATTTTTTATTAAAAAAAAAAAAACTAAAATTGAAACATTTCGCTTACGTTTGCTACTCTGCGTGCGATAGGAGAGGGCGCGCGCGGCGGCGATGGGCTACCCAGACCCCACCAACCCCGATTTCGAGGCCACTACCGAAATGTACCACTCGACGCTCTCCGAATGCTTGAGGAGGATCAAGGCGTTCAAGGACAAGGGGGAGGACAAGAAGATCGCGATCATGGTGGCGTCGCACAACGAAAACACCGTCCGGTTCGCCATTGAAAAAATGAAAGAGTTCGGCATCGAGCCCTCCGACAAAGTGATCTGTTTCGGACAGTTGTTCGCTATGTGCGATTACATCACCTTCCCGCTAGGTAACCGAGGCTACTCACAGTTAACAACATACAACCAGTTATTGGTAACCAGTTCTTTTTTTTAATAATCGTTTAACTTGCGTCCGTGAAATACAATTTTGCTCAGAATACAAAAATCTACAGTAAGTATATCTGCCAGTCCTGCAAGCGTTAAAAGAATACTTTCCTAATATAAGATCACACAACATTTCTGTTCCCCAGATATTTATAATAAGCCATTGAGTTTGGAATACCCTGTATTTAATTTCGGAATCCACCCGATTAACTTTCAACTTGGCCTCATTTTTTAGTTGATAATCGAAGTTGACAATACCACGTACCATTGAAAATATATGGGAAACTGACAAACTGCAGTTTGATGGTGTCACAACTTAACACCTTAGAAGAAGCCGTTAAAGAACGATTTTTTGTTTTCAAGTATGGTACAATTACCTATTAGATAAAACATATTTTGTACATTAATTTACATCATTCAACAAATTATTTATAAAACGCATAAAGGATATTTTCCTCACTTCTTTCATGGTTCATATAAATTCAAATGTATTCGATATCATTGTTCATATTTGTACGTTTTTGTTAAGCAAATACATCCTGATGTTTCTAGAAGATATTTAAAAAAAATTGGAGACAGCTATCACAACAAGTCTCGACAACACAGTATAACATTTAAACTAACCAATACATACTATACATATTTCCAAAATGATTAAAATTATGCCCAAAATTTTTCTCGATGTACTTCGTATTTGATAAAGGCACGGTGTTGCCGAAACAGCTGTCATTTAAATATATTTATGTGAAAATTTGAACGTTTGTTCTTATTTAACTATTTTAAATGGATTTTCATCAAGTAAAAGTCACTTCAGTACAATGAGTATTAATTATTTGTTAATTGTTAAACTACGAAACCAGTCGTTAATTTTTTGACGGACCTTGAGAATATAGTGTAATCGGCGGATTTATCAATTAGTGTTACTTGATTCGCCAGGTCAGTCGGGTTACTCGGCGTACAAGTACATCCCCTACGGTCCGGTGGACGAGGTGCTGCCCTACCTCTCGCGGAGGGCGCACGAAAACAAGGGCGTCCTGAAGAAGATCAAGAAAGAGAAAAGACTGCTTGCCAAAGAGATCCTCAGACGTTTGGCGACCGGCAAGATCTGGTACAACCCCAAGGGCAATTACGTGCCGGTTTAAAAATCGTAAGAACTCAAATTTACTTTAATCGTATCTCTGCCTTAAAAAAAAAACATTGCGAAAGGGAGGGTATGTCCGACAGAAATGGCTCAAAATTAATATACTTTACATCAACAGTGAAAAGTAAATAAACGTATAAAAATCCGCGCAATAGGATATCCACTATTGTATAAGATGAGATATAAGATTTTTGTCAAAAATTATGATTTTTGTTCAAAAATAAAAAAGCTACTTTTATAATTAAAGTTAGTTCATTTGCTTTTCATGAAACCACTCAAAATTTAGTAAAAAATCGAAAATATTGCTAATTACAATCTAACTACTTAATGAGGATCTGACTGCCCATTTTCTTCGTATGTATTGCTTAATAAACAGCCCCGTTTGTTAACTTGATAATGAACAGTTCTTAATTTTATTTATTTTCGAAATGTTTCGTTTATTAGTCAGTACCTCAGATTGACTAATTATAGGAAACAAGGGCGCCACACAAACAAGTTCGTCCTTCATTCGTAATGGTTGTTTGATATTATTACTATGTATTTCCTCTTTTTGTTCTTCCCCTCCGGGAGTGTAGAACTTTATTTGTAATGCAAGTCATTTATTAATGGCTATTTACATAACTAATTAACTATTTGGTTGTATGTAAATTGCCACCACTAGAATTTGGGTCAATTTCAATGTTGATTTTCTCGCGAACTGCTGAAAAGATTTGAAAATATAATAATTTTGTTGCAAAAAGGATATTTTGATTTGTTATGGTCTCGATATGGTGAGTATGAGTATTAATATTATTAGTGTATTCTTTTTCATATAAAAGTCGGTAGTTTTCTATAAAAAAAAAAATAACTCACTCTCTATAATAAAGTTTCCAGATCTTACTTATGCAGTATAATTTAAAACTAATATATAGAAACAACTTTTCAGAAACACATTACAGACATTACTTTGTCATAATACGCCCAGATCCCGCTTTAGTGTTAAAGTAGTTAAGTTTGCAATCACCACTATATTATCCAATAGCTATATGGTTGGTTCAAGTTTTACCATAAATTTGTACCTATGAAAAAAACAACGGCAAAAATTATTTTCACTTGCAGGTTCCTAGCCCCCACCACAAGACCCCGTTCGAATGTAATTTACGGTCGCCATATGCCGGGCATGGCTGCCGCATCTCTGTTTATAGATATAAATAGTTTAAAAGACACAATTGAAGTCCGTTTTAGCTGATACGATGTCTGCGTAACGCCGATCGCCGGCAACGATCATAACAACCAACTCTCCCCCGGCGGTTGACAAAATTTTCCCCTCACTGTCAATTAAACGAAAACCAAAACCCGCGGGAGGGAGGAACAACGTAGGCTGCTTCGGCCGTTACGCAGACAGAATCTCGGGTTGCTTGATAAACATTTTTCAATTTTAATCTAGTGGGACAGAGCATTATTGTACAGATATTATTTCCCGTCGTATGGGTTAAGAAAAAAAAATCAAATATCGTTTGAAAGAGTAACCCCCGAATTTTTCTTTTAAGCGTTTCGTAAGCATCGTTTTGTTGTGTTATGTTATTTTATGATATTAAACGAGTGAAAAAAAAACAAAGAACGTCACCTCCAGCACACGCGGTTAAAGTTAATTTATAGTTATCCTAGCTGTGATTTTGTAAGTTAAACGAGGCATAGGACTTTTTCGTTTGGCCAACGCATCGGGCGTCTAAACATTTTCGCCAGTATTTCCCTTCCGTTCTAATTGCGTAGTATTATAAATGATCTGGTATTATTAACAGAGTAGGCCGTCGAAATTGGTGAACTCCGCAAAAATTGTATTATTATTATTATTATTATTTTGTAAACGTGGTTGGGTTCCCAAGATATTAAATTATTTATGGATGTATCCTAAACTTGTTCAGACAATAAATAAAATTTAAACCAAACGCGGAATTTTTGTTCCCCAGACGCAAAAAATTGCATGGTTAATTTCATAAGTACTTACCGCGAAATTCTACGGCGTACACTTAAATCACTGTTATTAACCGAATGAAACGAACTACACTACATAAACTTCACTGCAAAATGTTACGGTGTATACTCAAAACACTAATATTAATCGAATGAAATAAATTACACTACATCAATTCTCTACACGCGTGCAAAATGTATGCTGTTCGTTTCATAAGCGCACGCGCAGCTTGCCGTGTGCGTGGTGATTGGTTCAGAGCACATAAAATCTTGTAAAAAACAAACCTGTCAGGGTCGGATTCAGGACCGAGCGGGGTATTGAGCCGAGTTGATCCAGGCTTTGGGCCATCAACGTTTTTTTATTTAACAATTCATTAAGTCGGCTACACACGATTCGGCAGGCCTCAGTTCGAATTGAATAGTCCCCCTGATGGACTGACCACCCTCCTCACGTTCAGGCGAATATGAAATCAGTCATAATCATGGCCTCTACTGGCGAACGCGTTAGCACTTCTCGGCTTAGTAGTTGCTTTGGGTAAAAAGAAATTTAAAAAAACATATTGTATTGTGCAAAGATTGGATGAAAAAAAGGAGCGTCCGCCTGAACAATCTTAACTGACAGTTCCACCGGAACATACGTTCAGACTGACTGTTCGGTTCGAACTGACAGGCCTCGCCGGATCGTGTGTAGCCGGCTTTAAATTATTGCGCAATGTATTGGGATCATTGCTGGACTCGAACCAATGATTTCATCGAGGGAAGCGTCTTAACATATCGTTAAAAAGAGCATCGAATATTCTATATTCTAAATTATTCTTAAAATTAAATAATCTTCAGTGAATTATTTTTTAAATATATATCGAACATTTGAAAATATAAGAACAGAAATTCTGAAACACGGCGTCGTCGACGAATTCTTTTGTCGTACCAAAGTTTGCAGAATAATTGAAGTTGCTTGATATCTCTGTTGTGGCAGTTGTAAAACGGAATCCGTGCAAAGTGGTTTTACTTGTTTCAAAATAAGCGGAAAATGGAATGAGATTAACGTAACCTTTTATGTGTGCAAGACAATATCTAATTATTTCAATCAAAATAAATAAGAACTAAAAGTTCAGATTTTCACGAAATTATATATTTTGACATGACAATTGGTTCTCCAACACGGTGTCTTTATCAAATCACATTTGATAAAGACAGATATACAGATATAATTTCGTGAAAATCCGAATTTTTAGTTTTTATTTATTTTGATTTTTAATTTAATAATTATAAAGTTCTGTATTATCTTTTTTGATGTAATTATGGGTGCGTTCAGAATTGTAAGAATGGGCCAAAACTGGTAATTTTTCATTCCCGCAAGCTTTGCGGAAAAAAATGGATTCAGGCAGTAAAACGAGAAGATTGGTTTGTTCCGACTTTAAACACAAAGGTGAGTCTTATGAAATAGTTTTCGATAAGTGCAAGGGCCTTTAGAATCTAAGTACTACAAAGTGGGCTATCAAGTTAAAAATTTCAAAAAGCCTATTCATTTTAAGATTACGTGAGCTTCATTCTCAACCGCATGAAATTCAAAGAGTTACGACTTGTTGCAGTGTTGAATAAGCCCACTTAAAAATGCATATTTGATCAAAATATAATGATACGCAGATGCAGTACCGTCTGTTTTATCATCCACGGCACAAAGAGGATATTTTAAGGAAGCTTTCATTGAAGCTGATTTATAATATTCTGCTAAACAATATTACAAAATATTGTATAATAAAGTCTCTATGAAACATGCCTCTTAAAATTTAATTTTATATTACTTAATCCTAATAAAATAATTTAGATATAAAAAAATAAATTAAAATGTCTATGCTCTCCTTTCTGTATGAATTCCTAGATTATTTTTACCTCTACATATTTGTACTATATTTAATATTATATACGACGTAAATATCGCTACTTTTGTGCATGTTAATTTATTTAATTTTAGAAGTTTAATAAAGCTCGCAATTTTAATGTTTTTCTCGGAAAAGCAAAACGCTTGTATCTTTAGATCACTTAGAAAAGGGTATCGTTGGTTTTTTTACAATTCGATAAAATTTAGAAGGGTGGCTCTTTTGTTATTATATAAGTTTCACGTTTGCGTTGGATTTTTTTATTGATATTGCTTACAACACTAGTTGAGTGCTCAAATGGATGACATCGTCAAATGTTGTTCTTCCATCATTTTCCACAACTCACACCTCGAATCAAGAATAATGCTTTCATGACGCCGAAATGCAGGTAGAATGAGCGGGTCAAAGGTTATGACATACTTCCAAAGGGTTACGTCTGTTTACCGCTAGAAGCACCACCATTGTTTTAGCACCGTTTTTTTCATTTTTTGAGGTTATGTTGGTGGGCCTGTAATTGATCACGCCGGCCCACGGCAATTATTGCTAGGGACACGAGAGCTAGATAACTTCTTTCCGGGTAGGCAGGACATTAAAACACCTTTTTTTAATAGAAAAGAGGACGTTTACTATCTTATACATCGGGTTGAACAAGATTCGCTAGCGAAGTATTTTTTTTTTCAAATAATATATATAGGTTAGGTGGCGCTCGTCATAACCTCACTCGCTCTCGTCTTTCAGCTTAGCCAACAGCAGAGCCCGTTGTTTTTCGAGTTCTGTCTCGCTAGCGGCCTCGTTGTCCGAATGTTTATCCTTATATTTTTCGGGCGGCGTATTCTGCAGAAAAATACTCTCGTTAACGGGTATTTTTTCTCGCTACGCGTTTTCGAATAGTCGTCGAAAAAATAAATAAATAAAGGGACTCCAAGCGCACAGATTACCAACTTTTTAATGTCAAAGATTGTACAAACCGAAAAAATTGATATCGGTGGTGTCTCTACAAAAATTAAAAACTAGCTAATGATACAAATTAAAATCGGAGCGGACTAGAACGAAAAAGAAAAGGGGGCGCGAGTCGCTAATAACGGGGCTTCAACTCACAGATGGACTTTTTCGTTTGTGCTTCTTCTTCGACCTCTTCTTTTTCGCGTACTCTTCCGAGCTCTCGCCGGAATATGGCGACTCGCTGCGCGCCTTATGCCTCGACTTTTTCGGCTTCTCCGGTTCAGACTCGCTCGAGCTCGTCGATTTGTACTTTTTGTTTTTCTTCTTTTTCGATTTCTTCGATCGGAAGTGCCTGTGGCTGCACGCCTCCTCCATCTCGTGTTGGAATTCCTATAAAATCATTAAATATTTTGTAAAATCATACCGCCTTCACTAGCAAGAGAGAGTAAAAATTTGTTAAGGTAAACGTGGAAGGGTTTCTGCCGACATAAAAAAACCTGAAAAACTCAACTTCAAAACATCACAAAATCTGGAAATCCATTATTTTTTTCTCGAATGAGATACTTTTGTTACTTTTTGTGTTCTGCTATGCGATATGCTCTGCTTTATTTGAGATTGGACATAAACCCCAAAGCAAAATAATTTATCCAAAGTATTTTTAGCATTTTGCAATTGATAAAAATGAAAAGTCCACTTTTTTTTTAGTTGTTCATAGAATTATAATTTTATGGTGAAAAGTTACCCCTTCATAGAAGAAATAGACTTTTGAATGCGAGTCTGTGTGTGCCGCAATAGATCATTAAGTAGTAGCGGAAGGCCAGACCATCGATCGCATACAATAAATCTCATTCTAATATGTAAAACGTCACATACGTATACGAGCAACATTCACCCTTCAACTGTAACATTTCTAAAATTGTTATGCCCCCATACATAATTTTTAACATTCAAAAATTGATTTGTTCACCTAAGAAACATAAATGATAGGTGTTAGGAAGATATCCGTATGAAATTGCTATAAAAAAACAGTAAATAATATTTCAAACCTTAAAAAAGCGAAATTCAAAACACAGAGATTTTATATTAGTTTCCAATTTATTTGGCTTTAATCTCCACGTTGTGTTGTACCCAGTCGATATCTTTTTTTTATCAGTCGGCTAAATATGAAGACGGAAACGGCAGTAAAAGTACAATATACACAAAAAAAATACGACTTTTACTGACTCATCGTTTTGCAATTCTGCGGGTTCTTCTGCATATTTGATATATCAGACAAATCCACTAAGATTGGCTCCATCATCCATGTTTGGAAATCAATTTGTTTTAAATCAGTGGAGAGAAATGAAATGATTGACAATAACAAGTAAAGCAGTGTCAGTTACTTCATATTCTTTGAGCCAATGAAACTGTTCAAAGTTTTTGTTGTTAATACCTTTCTGATATAACTCTATATTGGTAATGAAACCAAATATCTTTGCCTTTGCGTCGACAAGTATTTTATTTGTTCCTTGAAGTTGCTTATTTAATATATTCAGTTTTTCAAAGCTATCGGCTAAATAACTTAGAAATGCTTTACCTTTCATTGTTAACAGATACTTCATTTCAGGTTTGTGGCTTAAAGAATCACTAAGAGTATCAAACAGTTCCATAAAGTCTCACATGGTCTTCCTCTTCACAAAATAGCTTGAAAAGAAGCTCAGATTTGGCACTAGCTTCAATGACATTAGCAGATTTTATTACTGCTTGTAGTACTTCATTTAGAACAGGCAGGACGTTTTTAGATACCAAGTTTTCCCTATGAATGACACAATGCACAATAACCATTTATGGATTTGCATCTTTCATCAATTTTAAGCAGCCATTTTTCTTGCCCATCAGATGTTAAGTTTTCATTGGTAGTAGTGCTTTTTCTAATGTTTTACAGAACATTTATTCAGCAAAATGTCCTTCATCAATTACTACATACAGTGTTGATAACTTACATAAGTTATCAATACTGCCTCACTGTCTCTCAAAGTTCCATATGCTCTGAGAATTTTTATTGTTTTTTTTTCAACAAGTTGGCTTTCAATATCATCGTTCATTTCGTCTATTCTTCTGCTAACACTGCACACACTCATACTGAGTAGTATAGATTTTACATCTTGGTCATCTTTTTTCCCTAATCGCTTTAAGAAATATTGATATTTCCCTCAGTAAGACGATCATTAGTTAAAGTACAAGCAGTAACTAGAGACTTTAATGTTGTTCCTTTTTTAACATTTTTAAAGTAATTCAAATCTGAATTAATATGAGCACTACGTTTAGCCTTCGAACGCGCCTCAAGACGATCTCGTTATTATTGGCATAAAAACGCACACCGGCTATGAAACCAAATTTTAAATAATCCTCCCAATATTGACGATTTTTTTTTTTGCTTGCATCACTCATTTTACTATACGCTAAAAAAAAGTTCAAATTTAAGTGTATATAAAACATTAGCGATATTTTTTTCACTTAATATAATTTTATGGAAAGTGAAATGCTTCTAAAATTAAAATAAATATAAATAAAATCAATTACTTTTCAATTCTATCTATACAACATATATAAATATATTCAGTCAACGATATATTCCATCACTTATCTCTAATAACCCTGATATTATGTCTAATAATTATTTACAGTAATTTTTTATGATTTTGCATTTTTTGTTGTCACCGATATCAATTATTGCATTTAAATAGCCTGGAGGGAAAGTATTAAAGTCGTGTCGAGTGTATTCTGAAATTGCCCCCCTGTGGGGCGTGGGCCCACCAGTTTATCTTCCACGGACTAATATCAATTACTTTAGCGTTATGATAACTTGATTTCAACATATTTTTTTCTACTGACTACTCTAAAGTACCCAGTTATGCACCAGTTATTTATAAATTAATGTCTGAAGAGAATTCTCCAACATTTTCTTTACAGTCCAACGCACCTTGTATACCCTCTCGCGTTCCGTGTCCGAATCGAACGCCAGAAACTCCTCCTCTTTCTCCAGCTTGACCTTCGCCTCCTCCCACGACAGCTCAAAGTCGATATTCATCTCCTTGAGTAAATTCTTGAGGCCGTTCTCCAGTTTCTTGACGCGTTTCGACTCCTCCTTCAGTCGCTCCTTCTCCTTCACTTCCGCCTTCTCCAGCAACGAGTTGTATGTCAGTTTGACGTTGCCTGCGTCCAAGGTCGCGCTCCGCTTGTCCTCGCAGATCACCGTCGCGAACTGATCGAACGTCGTCCCCACCTTGACGTCGAACTCCTTCTCCTTGAGGATCTCTTTGATGATTTTCTTCTCGTCGTGGAACCGCGACTTCAGATCCTCGACGTAGAACTTGAAGAGGTCCAGCGGGGTCGAACCGCTCTGCCCCAACATGGCGGAGAAGCGAATGTCCGCGGATATGATCGGATATAGCTCCACCCACAACGACATCGACGTCAGTTTGCCCTCCTCGTGGAGGTGGTCAAGTAGCGCGAGGAACTGAAGCAGACAGACGACACAAACGCAACATATTAAAAAATTTACAAACAAAAATGAGAGAAATACGGAGAGGCGGTAATTGCTTGCTAGCCCGATGTTGCTTATGGCTTTCTGCATTTTAATTGTGTATTGTGTAATTGGTTAGTTTTGTTTACTTTCTGTTATTCTGCTGAACTGACAGAGAAAGCATATACATATTTACACCATTATTTTAAAATACATACAGGGGGAGAGAGAGAGAGACAGAGAGAGAGAGAGACGGTACAAATTGGCAACAAATATATAATCAAAAATAAAGTGTGTCAAATATTAAATAAAATTACAAAATTAAAATGTTCCTACTTAATGAATTTGAGTGTAGGATGACTCTTGTCACAAAATGCAAAACTCGAATTAGACTCGTAAATGATAGGTACTTCACCTACATTGAAAATTCGGAACGAATATTTCCAGGACCGTACTCAACAGGTCAAGCTTGGCTGTTTTCATTCCGCACCAATTTAGATGTAATATCCGGATTGCCTCAGGGGTCCCATCTGGCCCCAAAATTGTTTCTTCTTCTGGTAAATGATATATTAAATGATTATTAACTTTTTGCGGATGATTCTAAAATTTACCGCTGTATACGGTTAGTGGATGATTTTGAAGTGCTACAAAGGGACATAAATTCGCTAGTGGAGTGGTGTAGGACGAACAAATTAAAATTAAATACTGAAAAATGGGCCTGTATGATTTTCTCGACATAAAAATTGCTGACATAGAATGGATGAGTGTGTGTTGAAGAGAGTGCAACTAGGATTTAGGTATAATTACGTTTTGAGCGGCACTTTGAGGATGTCATGAGCCGAGCTAACCGTATGTTGGGTCTGGTGGTCCATTCTATCTTGGAGTATGGGTCAACCATCTGGTCTCCTTTTACAAAATTCACAAACACCGAATTGAGGCTGTGCAGAACAATTTTTTAAGGTATCTTAGGTATAGTATGGACCAGAGAGGTTGACAAATGGATGTCATTGAAGTGGGGAGGGCCTTCATGGACTGGCTATTGTTGAGGACCATAGAGAATTTCGGGATATACATTTTGTCTTTCGAGTGATAAATGGTACTATTGATCCTCCTTGTATTCAGTCAAATTTTAATTTTCATGTCCCTTCTAGAGAATTGAGAGGAAGTCAGCTTCTGTCTCCTGTACTGAGTAATACTCGACATGCTCAGAATATGCCTTTAAATAAGCTGGTCTCCTTTGTAAATCAACACACCATTGATTACACCGGTGTTCCTTTAAAATTAAATTAAGACAAATTTTGTTAAATTGATTTGTAGTACAGCCATCTGAAAAATATGTAGTTTTTTACTGTCCATAGTTTGTTATTTTCTTTTCATTATATCCTAGTTTAAGTAAACATAAGCTTGTGAAGAAAAGATCTTCAAATTTTGAAAAGTTTAAATGATTTTCCGATCTTGCAAAATGTCTTTACGATCAGTTTTTATAACAGTTACCTGATCACGGTTCTTCCGGAATTGCCGCTTCTGACGTCTCTTCTCCCTCTCCTTGTCCTCAACGTACTCCTTCTCGAGCAAGCGGATGTGTTCTTCGAACACTATCAGAGCATCCTCTTTGTCCATCGCGAGTAGGTTCACGTCATTCTTGAACGCGGTGTTGTCAAGCAGCATGACCTGAGCTTCGCTCCATGTCGTGTCATAGTTAATTTTCGTCATGCATTCGAGCACCTCGGCGAGCTTTTTCATGTTGCGCTTTTTCAACGTCTTGCCGTCCTCCTTTTCGCGTTTCGCTAGCGCGAACACGGCGTCTTCGTAAATGTCCCTCCGATCCGAGTCCGAGACCCTCTGCCATACCTTGAGGAAACAAGACCAGAGGGTTTCTCAAAACAAAGATCATTTCTGTGACTTTATTCATTAAAGAATTTAGCGTTGAATGTAACCTTTAATATAAAACCAAGGAATACTAGTCAAAATTAGAACATAAATTGAAAGAATATTAAATATAAAAAATAATATTTTAATTAAATTATATACAGAGTATTAGCATATTTAGCATCATATAATCTAATTAGTGAATGTGGACCACGCCCACAATGCAGAATCAATATCTGATATTTTCTTCTATCTAAATTTGATATAAAAATTGCCATTTTTTTCCTAACGGAAATTCTCACTGTCAAACTGATAATTGCGATACCTATCAAATAACTCAACACCGCGAAATGATCGTGATCGTAAGCGACCAATATTTCATGTTAATTTCGATAAATACGCTACCAAACAGGGAGTTACCTAACCTCTACAGCAAAAGGAAGGAGGAGAGTTCTCACCTAATTTTAAGACGAAAATGTTTATGAATACTAATTTTTCGAATGTCACGTCATTTTGGAATCGCAGAGTCTTGAAAAAATATAATTCCGAGTGTTTTCTTTTTAATATTATTTATTGACAAACTAGTACCATAACATCCATAATTTCATTCTTTTGATGAGTTATTCAGAAAATCTGACAATCTCCTTCAGTAAAGTAATTTGAAAAAAAATGTTATATTACATTTCCACCTTAAAATTTTGTGATAATTCTCTTCCTAACCCTGAGACTTGCCTACCAGCCACATGTTAATATGTCAAAAAATATCAAATATTCATGCAAAGTAATCAAAAAAAAATTTTTTTTTGGAACACGACGAAATTTAATCATTTAGCAAAAAAAAATACTGTAAATAAAAAAATGTAATACCAAATAAAAGTAAAATAAATAGAAAAAAAATTAAAAAAAGCAAAATTGAGGAATATAAAATTGTAATTTTTGTTAAAAAAAAGAAAATATTATTTCAAAACCACAAGCAATGTCATTTAAAAAACTCTACCTCCAAATGGCCGAACACCTCATCGCACTTGTAGTATTTCAAAGTGGACGACATTTTATCAGAACTGAGCAGGAAGGCCTCGAGCTCCTCCTTGTATTTTTTGGCCTTGAGCCTTTGCTCCTCCTTCTCGTCCTTTTGCTTCTGCGTCTTGTAGGCGTTGAACACCTGCGTGAACACCAATTGGTCATCCATACCACCTCAACATTCCGCTAGATGACGCCCACTTACCTGCTTTCTTTCATTTAGCTTCTTGAAGGACTCATACCGGGGATCATTGGCAATGATTTTAACGCACTGCTCCCAGGTGGCGTTCGAAGGCACGTTCTTGTCTTTGAGCAGTTCTTTGAACGCTTCCATCGCCTCCTTTTTGTCCCTAAACACCTTTGGCTCTGGCGTCGACGTTCTCGACTCCTTTTTTTCGCTGTGATTTGACATGTTCGAATCTTCGTCCTGCCTAGGGGGTGGAGTTGGTAACGATATGGCGGCCAGAGTCGCCGCCATCGAAGCCTCCAAAGCGCTCTTTCCGCCGGGACTGCTACTGCTTGCCACCGTTGGAGAATTCGGCCCGGAAATCGCATTCGTTGGAGTCCCCATTATGGGACTACTCACGTCCTGAGGGGTTACTGGATTACTGAGCGCTTGCACTGCCGGAGTCAAGGCCACTGTGCCCGGAGCGCCCAAAGGCGGCATGGCGGGCACCACGCCTACTTGAGTCGCTATGACAGGCAGCGTTACTCTAAAACCCGCAAATATCAATTTAACGGCGTCGAATAACTTCAAACTTACTCTTCCGTCGCAATTTTTTTCTTAATCTCTTCAAGTTCCGGTGGGATAACCCATCTGGACTCCTTAGTATTTATGTTGTGATAGTAGATTTTACCATTATCGGCCGTGTACTCCTTCCACGGGCACTGCGAAAGTAGAAGCTGCAATGGGAATGTTATTATTGTAGTTCTAACCTAGCTTTCAAGGGCTACTTCTGAAGGGGTTTTTAAAACGTCTGGTTTCTGCCATGAGCTCTGCTTCGTGACGGAGTTGTAGTAGTAGATACGTCCGTCTGGAGCCTTGTGCTCGCTCCATTCGCCTTGAGCGGCTCCAATTGGTGGAGGAACAGCCCCAAAACCGGGCGGGGGTACGCTAAACGGAGGTATTATCGGGGAGTATGCGGCCATGCTAGGCAAAGGTACCTGGGGCATTATGGGCGACGTTCCTATGCCCGGCGGAGGTACGAACGCTTGCGACGGAAGACCCGAGTCCTTAAAAATTTGTTAATACATTTTCGATAACCTAAATATAAAGCGCGGCTTACCATGGCGATTTCGGTCGTTTAGAGCGGGGTACGCTTTTTCAATTAGACATTATTCGTTTTTGAAATATGTCTTAGGAGATAATAAATCTCTCTTCAAAATCAAAATGCAAACCAACATCCCCGAATAAGTGCAAAAAAGATCTGTGGGTTAGCGGTTGTGTTTTGTCAGCTTTACTAAGCCGTGTTTCTGTGGTAGGCAGAACCAAATCTTGTTAAATTTAAAGCAAAAAACGTAAATGCGTTAAAAATGTAGTGGATCCGAAGTTTTTTGTTAGAATCTGAAAAATACTCTTTGTTGATTAGATCTGAATTGACGACCAATTCGGCAATGAGCGAACGATTATGACAATTTTCAGAAAAGAAGAAGAAATAATATTAATATTTTGAAAATGAGTATATTCCCTATAACATATTAGAGAAATTGTTTATGTAGCTCATTTTATGAAGTCTGCTGAAATAAAAATGTAGCAGACCGCCTTTTTCTAGGATGCTCATGGCTTACTTTAAGTAGCGTATGTGCGCAGCATTTTACCACAAATGTATTAGCGATTCTTCGTCGACATTATAAAATACTTCTCTCACAGTTCTATAAATATTTATGATAATGCTCTTCAACGGTGCAATTAAAATCCTAATAGGTAATATTTTCATAGCGGTTCTAAGAATAGTATCTTAAAGTTATACTGAAAACATTTTTTGAAAGTTTATTGTAAGATCTCTTAAAGGACTATAGAAGCATTATCTAAACTGGGTCCCTTTATGGTTGTATATCACTTTATATCCACATTATAAGATTTATGCTTTAGTATAAAATCTGCTGTATAGCGGTTTTAAAAAATTTTATAAATCTAATCTTACTTGTTTTGGTATTTAAATAAAAAAAAGTCTTAATTTGAGCCCGTAGTGACCCCAACATTAAAAAAATGCGAAAGACGGACATCCGAATTTGCGACTGAGTTTTACGAAATATTCAACTTAAAATCAATTTTGAAAACAGTTGAAACGGAAACATAAATATAACATTACAACAATTTGTGAATCGCGTCCGATAACCAAAACAATATACAGCGCGAGTTACTATGACGATTACCTGGTTAAATCGAAGAAATATAACAGCTTGGCAATGCTGCGCGGCTGTGTTTGAATATTACGTTGTTTGTTTACTTTTATACTGTGGTTCCCTAACCGCGGTAATTACCAGTGGTCCGAGTTGAATCCCCTAATTATGTGGTTGTGAATGTTGTGAGTAGTAGTTGATAATATTGCATTGTTGCCCTTATCATTTAAAATGTCTAGAAGACGCGGTGATATTTCTGTAAGTACTCTACTATATAGGTTCTTAATATCGGCTAATTGGCTGGTGCGATTTATAGAAAGAGGACATTGCCAGGCAGTTTGTTCTGCCAGAGAGGCAGTCTAAAATCGACACCCTGTTAAGACAAGATGGTCAAGCCTATTGCATATGTAGATCGTCCGATTCGTCTCGTTTTATGATAGCTTGCGACGCCTGTGAAGAGTGGTATGACAAATTATTATGCAGGTGTAGTAATTTTCGCTAACATTGGGAACCATTTTTCCCAGGTATCACGGCGATTGCATCAAAATCTCCGAAAAGGAGGCGAAACTAATCAGGCAGTACTTTTGCATCCGTTGTCAGGAGGAAGACCCATCTTTGAACACGCGGTGGAAGACGAAACGTGAAAAGGATGAGGCTTCAGTGCAAACAAACATCGATGACCGCAAGTCAAAGAAACGAAAAGAGAGGAGCGAAAGTAAGCCTGATAAAAAGACGAAAAAGAAGTGCGGCGAGTGCATGGGTTGCTATCGCACTGAAGACTGCGGTAGATGCGACGTTTGCGTGAGAAAAAATAGGCACGGCAGCTCGAAAACTAAAGAGAGATGTAAACAGAGGATCTGCATTAATGCATTGGGCGGCGGGTGAGATATTTTTCTGACACAGAGTTGTTCACAGGAGACAGGATGTCTGACATATTTAGAACGAAAATTACTACCCAATTTGATTATTATTTATGGAGCATGTCACAAAGTTGTCACAAACTTTGCGATTCATCTGTCATTCAAAGGGAAGGAAATCAGAGTGCATATAAAGTGATATACTATTTACAAATCTGATGGATTTCTCCTGCATCCGTTGTTGATGAATCGAACTTACTGACGTTTCTTCAATCATTTGAGTTCAGTTAAGCTCAACAGGATGGTTGTCGGATCGTTAGCAAGTTCGATTAATTCACAACTCACGCAGGAAGAATCCAGAAGATTTGTAATAGTATATTATACAACAAGTGCGGTAAACGTCATTTGACTCACGAGTTTATTTGACACGAACCGAGCGAGTTTTTAATAAACGAGTGAGTTAAAAAGTTTACCATACCTGTTACATACTATACTTTTTCTATGACCGTTAGTTTTTGGGTACATTTTCGTAAAACAACACGACATGACCGACAGAATTGACAAACGCCAAAATTCAAAGCGTGGGAAATATCTCCGAAAAATTTGATTGCTTCCAAATCCGTGCGGTCAAATCCCGGAAATGTAATGAAAAATTTGCAGATATTGTTCGGTCTATAACTGTTAATTTTTATATATAAAATTTTTCATCTTGAAAATATTTTAGCAGGATGGGCCCACAAACAGTTCAAATTTTCAAATGATTGCCACTTATAGTTTTCCCATAATAGATCAACGAAGTTCCTGTCTGTATAAAATAGGAAATTGTTCCGAAAATTCGAGAATTTATTTTATGGGTATATAGGCTTTACCAAAAGTGTGACAAGTAGCAAAGTAATGTTTTTTCTTTTTAATGGAATCCCCTGCATGTACTTCATTTTTTGGATTGTCGGATTTAAATTTACCAGATATGACATAATAGCACAAAAACACCTAACACCTAACCTAAGTAGAAGAAGCGCATTTAGAATATTATGATTGCTAATGTTTTTTGATGTTATTATTCTGTAATGCTTCTTAGAAGACTGTAATTATGTTGCGCAAGCGTGAAAAATTGAGTTCTAATTTTCCGAACGTTGGTTTTTCTGGCGTCACTTTGGGCAATCAATAATCCTCCAATAATCCTCCAAGCATTCCCCCCACTTTGATGTTGATACTTCATAAAAGCTGCGAAAACGCCTATAAAATATTTTTACTGTGGCGCCTACTCCAAAATAAACTTATAGTGAAGTAGCACCAGCGTAATAGTAAGCCAATAATTTTATAAACATATATATATATATATATATATATATATATATATATATATATATATATATATATATATATATATATATATCTTGATCTTGAGATCTTCAGAGTATGATCCCGCCAATAGAGAACTACTTTTACTCTTAATTTATGATAGCTTTATTTTGGTATTCGTAACTGACTAACTCCTATTGATCGATTTTTTATCTTTAATGTAAGAAAAAAATTCTATCTCGATTATAGAGAGGTCGACTAAACAGCAAACAATATGACTCTGGGAAAATGAAGAACGGTTCCTTGATCACACACTAGCTAACTAACACATAGTCACAACTCTGTATATTCCAAATGTGAAATGTGACAGTGAATAACCGCGTTAAGCATGGGATTTTCGATTTTTGGGTAGCGCCCGGAGAAAAAGACGAGATTCGGGGTCCGACATGGAGCAAACGTTCAACGAGCACCTGAAAACCGATTATCCCAGACAGTGTTACGGGCAAAAATGCGTGAGGAGCGCGAGGTACGGCTCGAAATACTGTTCGGATCAGTGCGGCATGAACCTCGCCAAGACTAGGATTTTGCAGGTGCTGCCTCAGAGATTACAGGAGTGGGCGTTGAGTCCCTCGGCCGCAGAGGAACTTAATATCAAAGGTACGCGCGTGGGGGTTACCATATGGCTACTAGAGATACAGAGGCGTACGTACAACATGCGCATGCGCGACATTTAAAATCTCGTTTTTAACCGGTGACCTAGCGGCATTCAAACTAACCGACATTGCCGCTGACAAATCGTTAATAAGTGTGGATGCGGCATTTTTAAGGGAGTATTTCCTCAAAATATGTTTAAATCTTGTTAAATGTTCTGGGAAAACGATTTAAGTGTATGGAAATCGCTGTTTAGAAAGAAATGGCGCAAAGTACAGGTTAGTGGGTGAAATGTACAAGCATGCGAGAAAAATGATTTCCTTTTCTACGAAAATATTAGGGCCACTATATTATCTAATAGCTATATGGGAGCGGCGCAATGGCCTTAAGTTTTTTGATATTTCGTTGTGTTGTTTGTAAAATTCATTTTTCTTTTCTAATTGTAGGCTTTTAAATTTGATCTTTGTAGTCTTAGGGCTTCAATATTTGACATAATGTTATTTGACAAATAATAAAAAGTAAATGCATCAAGTTTTCACCATTTTTAAATATTTAAAAACTAATATCGCAAAAAAAAAGTTTTTTTATGGACACAGGTCACAAAATTAAACTTTTTGACAGATGTTTTTATTTTGAAAACCGATTTATATAAATTCTATGCATTTATTTGTATCACGTTTTTTTTTTTGCAAATATCAAAGAAATAAAAACGATATTTCAGTAAAAAAATACATTACTAGTTCAAAAAAAAAGTGGAAAAAAAAAACTTTACTGAGAGTTTTTTGGGTCAAATCTTCGTCTTTTTGCCAGAAAGCCACGTGTGTTTTTAAGGGTATGTCCCGTTTTAACATAATTTTTATGCTCTGTCTTCCTCTTTCCCTGTTCTTCGCTAACTGCTCCAAGATATTCAGGAAAATAGTTCAAGTGTAAAAACAGAAAATGCGCTTTCAGACGATGAAAGTGAAATACTTTCGTAGTTTTCGTCCTTACATTTCCCAAGAAACTTATCAGTTACTTCTTTAAATGAAACCCAGGTGTTTTTCTCTACATTGGTCATTGTGTTTTGAAAATCCTTGTCTTTGCATAATGTTCTTATCTGCGACCCAATAAAAATACCTTCTTTTATCTTGGCACCAGATATTTTTGGAAATTTTTCGCACTGTCTACGGCTTTAACAAACAGTTTCATCAAGTCCAGTTTGATATAAAGAGGGGGCAGTAGACCTTTTATGGGGTCAACTAAGCTGTCTGTTAATACATTTTTGCTACCAGGTGTAAATCTTGTTCTAGAGGGCCATTCTATTTAAGTCCAACGTCTATCTCCTACCCGACGATCCCACTCCTAGGAGCATGCACAACACTGATGTTCGTGTTAGTTTATTTTCTTCCAAAGAATGTGCAACGGGAACCGAGACGAGTTCGTTACCGTTCGTCCGATAAAACGTTTTTTAAACTACTCTTACTTGAGTCAGTAAACAGGCACAAATTTTCTTTTATGTACGGCACATTTCTTAATTTTGAAACTAAGTCAGATTGTTGTTGCAATGCGCTGAGTAAAATATTGAAATAACTCTTTCGCGATCCCGGTAAAAGCATGAGTGACGCCAGGTGCCCGTAAATGCTTGTCACAAAGTCTGGACGCTAACAATTCGGATGCATCCTTTGGAATCACTAATTATTTACTTCGCTCTGGTTAAACGCTTCCGACTCTTTGAAATCTGGTGTGAAATCTGAGTCATCTGGGTCGGAATTAGATTCCTCTGATTCTGACGATATGGCGTTTTCTATTCTTTGGGGGTGGTAGGTATCGGTATATCTGGGCCATGAGGTACTGGTCGAATAACAGAGTCAAGATTGAGATACACATATTTTTTCAGTTGAATCTTTGAAAATTACTGGGCTCTCTCCATACCATAGTTACACCACTAACCTTTTTGTCAGTTTCTTAATGCTTCAACGCAAACGGAACAAACAGTATGAGGAGCCCACGACTTGTCTTGGTTACCAATGTTTACAGTAAAATATGCTTGGTACATATTTTTTACAAAAGAAGTTATAGTTTGCCTTTGCTTTTCCACGACATAACTACCACAGATACAGCAAAAGTTACAACGCTGTATTGACGCTTCTGCGCCAACTCTGTTGCTTTGCAGAGAAATCTAATATTACGCAGTGTTGCCAAATCACGTTTAATTTTATAAAAATCAATTCATTTAAAAATCATGCCTGACATGGAACAAACATATTCACGTCATAAGTATGTATATTAATAAAATAACATTTTCAAGATATAGAGCGCTATGAAAAAAATGACGTGATAGAGCAAAAATATGGCAAACAGCTTTCAAACATCAAAATCTCTGTGTAATTAAAAACCATGTTTTCCGTCTCTCCGTTTAGATAATTGTTACCCAGTTAGTGTTGCTTTTTTCGTAACACGTACATTAAACATATTGTATATTATTTGTAATTTAAATATAAATAAAACACCTTATTTATTGATTTAAGATTAATAATAAAATAAATAAAAAAAAATAAATTTACCAACAAATTAAAAAATATAAAGTTGCATATAGCACCTTAAAATTTCAAATATATTATTAATATTATTAACAAATATTTATTAATATGTTGGTAAAGCTATTTACAAAACTTAACTTCCGTAAACATCTAAGTTGTGAGCGGGGCTTGGTATACGTGTTGATTGTTGGTTTTTTCCGTTAGCGTTGGATCAGGTCAGAAAGCAGCAGCTCGAGGTGCGGGAGATCTTGCATGAACTGGACAAACGTCACCGGGAGATCGATTATCTCGTGGATCGCGCGAAAAGCGCGACGATTGATCCCAATTCGGAGTACGACGTCGAGAAGGACGAGGAGAGTTCCATGTATTGCGTCACGTGCGGCCACGAGATCCACTCGAAGACGGCCGTCAAGCATATGGAGAAGTGTTTCAACAAATACGAGTCGCAGGCGTCGTTCGGGTCCGTTTTCAAAACGAGAATCGAAGGTATAATATTTTTGAGAGCACCCCGTGTGCTTCGATGTAACAAGTCTGTAAAAATAAGTTAAATGTTTTTCCCTTTACATCAAAAATAAGGCACTCAAAATATAGTAGGATACTTTCCAGACACCCATATTTCACTTAAGTGAAATATGAAATAATTCTGGAAATATGTTCAGTATATGTAGAGTTAACAAAATGCTTTTGAAGACTCGCGCTATACCAAAACCTGTGGTTTTCGTGGAATCCACAAAAATATGTTTTATTTATTCTTGACATTACAGCTAAGTACAAAAATTAACCAATTAATGAAAATAATGGCATAGACTTTACACGGAAACTTATTGCCCTTAATACATTTAATTTTTTTTTATACAATTGAATATACAAATAACAGACTTGTTACTTTCGAAAATCGATAAAATATAATTTTTCGAAAGCATCTACGCTCGTATAATAATTTTATGTCTCTATAACGGTAGGTATTTAAAAAAAAAAAATGATTTTTTTTTTGTTGGTAATTTTGGTTTCCAGAAAAATTTGTTTTTCTCCATAATCGTTCTCCCGATCGGAAAAATTCTTTAACCACCAGACGCGGAAGATCCAGTGTAATAACAGTCATTTTTTCGATTGTATACGGGGTTTTCAAACTATAGTCAAAAATTTCAAAGACCCAGAAAATGGTTCATTTCTTCAGAAAATTATTAACCGCAAATCAAAAATCATAAAAAAATATGGCTAATCGATTCAAACAGTGTCATAAGCCGCATAAGTCACATTTGATAAAGACACGGTGTTGTCGAAACAATTGTCATGTCAAAATATATAATTTCGTGGAAATCTGAACTGTTCTTATTTATTTTGATAAATGGATTTTCATCAAGTAAAAGCCACTTCAGTTCAATCTTTCATTTCTTAAAAAAGAAAAACAAAACGGTAAGAGATAGAAAAATTAACACATATGATCATTTTGTGGATAATTTGTTGGCCTTGTCAATGGAATTCAAAAACTTTTAGATATTCATTTAAAAAAATATATTTTTTAGTATTATTGTCTTTCAAAAGTGCACTTTTTCGGTGTCTCCTGTATACCATATTGGCGATATTACATGCACAGTTTTTAAGTACATTCATTAGCTATTACTTGTGAAAGTGTTAATTGAATAATTCGTTTTCACCCCAAAATGTCACATTTTATTTAAGAAATAAAATCAAATTTTTTCCGGACAAGGTGGCAGATAAGTGTAGGAACAATGAGTGGAAGTTGTTTAAATTTTTATGTCGAATACCAATATGCAGTTGAGATGTCAATGTTGCCAGTGATTTGCGGTAGAACTGGCAACACTGCAAAAGCGAAAATATTTTTAAATCGTGCCTTGTTGCACGACATTGCGCATTGCACTTAGATAAGATTTTATTCCCAGGCAACAACATGTTCTGCGACTATTACAACCCGATCAGTCATACGTATTGCAAGCGTCTGCGAGTGTTGTGTCCCGAGCACTGCAAAGACCCAAAGATCGGAGACCACGAGGTGTGCGGCTGTCCGCTGGTTACGAATGTGTTCTCGCCGACGGGCGAGTTTTGTCGCGCTCCGAAGAAGTCCTGCACCAGACACTACGTCTGGGAAAAATTGAGACGGGCCGAAGTGGACCTGGAGAGGGTTAGACAGTGGCTCAGGATGGACGAGCTGCTGGAGAAAGAGCGCCAAATCAGGACGAGCATGGCGAATAGGGCGGGAGTCTTGGCGCTGATGCTGCACAGCACCTACAACCACGAGTTAATGGAGCGCATCACCAAGGCGCAGGATCAGCAGAGCATGCAGCGCGAGATGGAACAGGCCCGCGCGAAGCCCAGATCTAGATACGCGTGATTTTTTCGCGAGTGTTTTTTTTTATTGAAAACTGGCAATAGAAAAGCTTTCGGATGTTTCACGTAATTTTTATGAAAGGTACACTTAAATTGTAAATAAAATAAATTTCTTTAGAAGACTAATAACACTGTATAGATACCCCGTATAATATATTATAGTTAGTACTTTTTGAAACAGTGCATAAAACATTCGGTAAGTATCAATTATATGAAACCTTAATAAAATAACGTGCTTATTTCTTATATTTACATTAGAACCACCTTTTATATTAAAAAGTGCTAATGTGTGTGTGCATAAATCAGGTAAGCCTTTTACTTTACTTTTTTTACTTTTAAACCACTTAAGTTACAGATTTAGATAAATGTGAATTTAAATGAATAATGCCCGGAATTACCAAAACTAAATTATCAGTGTCGGATTAACAAATATTTTAGAAAAATCAAATTCTTAAATTTTAGAATTCCCTGCCTAGCACATTTAGTTCAATTTTTACAAAACATTATACAAAGGTTTTGTTCAAAATGAGATTCTCCGATATTCACCTGTTTTTCTCCCAATGTTAAACTACTGTCAATATTTAAATTTTAAGTTTACTGTTTCTCTTTGTCAAATCTGTTGAAATTTTTCAAAATTGGAGAAAGTTGTTTACATGTTTCAATCTTAGCTTTTTATGGAATATTAAAATGCATAAAAATGTTACCACAGCGGTGTATTTGTGTTGTTTTCCGTTTCCTCCAAATCAATTGCTTATTACATGCAATCAGCTTAGTTTTTTGTAAAGAAAGACACAAATTGAACAGTACTTTTCTATAACTTGTTTATAAAATTTACAAATGTTAAGCCAATTTGTCTACCTGTTAAATTTATTATGGTAGCTTCAGGACATTATGCATCTAAATATCCCATTAGGTGGTTTTTAACCCTTTCAATTTCTGGGAGGTCTGATTTGTCGTATCTAGGAAATGACTGCATATAATTATCGAACTACTCCAAAACTGAAGTTAGAGAGAGAAAGTGTTTCGCTAGGTAGCTGGTAGCTCTAATAACGATTTTAATTTTAAAGATACAAACCGCAAAAATCAGAGAAGTTTCAAAATTCCACAAAAAAATCTAATTGTCATAATATTAAACATAAAAAATTCACTGTTTATTCCACTGATTATAGTGATGAAATGTGAAATAAGTAGTGAAATAGTTTTCAGTTAACTATAAGAATATCACTTCATCAACTCAACTTCGCCATTGGTCAATTTGTCTTTCATTATATTTCTTCTATTATTTTTCCCTTCCCTTTTAATTCTGTATTAATTTATTTATATTTGACTAATAAAGACTACTTTATGAATCAAGAGATCCAATATGGGGACCCTGGAAATTATTTTTTAACCTCTTCATCCTAAAAGTCTGTAAATTTTTTTTTTCCTGCGAATGTGTATTTAAAAGAAAACAATGGATAGAAAAAGCAAATTGTTACATTTATTGTGAAAGGCAGGCGAATACAAATTAATAGGTCATCATATCCCTAGGAGTGCCACTTGGGTGTTCTAACCCTTTAGGCTACTCATGCCGGCTCGCATAATCTCATCCACCAAAATCAGGTTGCTCGCAATCACCGAACACGAGTTGATAATTTGTTTCGTGACTACGTAGTTATCATATATTCCTGCGTCCTTGGGATTGATCGGTTCGCCCGATGTCAGATCTAACCCTATGGGTTCCTCGCTAAGACGCGCCTCCTCCTGCAGCTTCACAATTGTCTCCTGTACATCGAAACCCGAATTGGTCGCCAACACCTTGGGTATGACAAGAAGTGCTTCTGCGTACGCGACCACGCCCAGTCGCGCTTTGCCTTTTATGGTGTCCTTGAAATCGAGCAGCTCCTTGTTTGCCGTTATCTCGAATGCTCCGGCCCCTATTTCCCACATAGACATTATCAAATGGTCACAATTTATGTCAAAGTCAAAGTGTCACTTGTTCATTGTAGGGTTAAAAGTCAAAGTTCGAATCTTATCATGCACTCACCCGGGATAAGACACTTGTCCTCGATGGCGTTATTGATAGCCCTTAGACCATCTCTCACGGCGTCTTTGATTTGTGCGAGGCTGTGTTTGTTGGGGCCTTTCATCAAAATGGTCACTGACAGAGGGTTCTAAAGAAAACAATTAAAACAATGGTATACCACAGAGATGGTACCCACCTTGCAGTTTTCCACGAATGTATATTTTGTTTCGCCTAGGACGTGTTCATAGACCAAACCGGCATAGCCCAAACACTCTTCGGTAAGGTCGTCAAAGCTGTTCATTGCCGTACCGCCGCAGGCCAAAGCGAGACGTTCCATGTTTCGTCGCTTGGCCCGTCTCAATCCCAATATGCCCTCTTTCGCAAGCATGTCCAAACTGATAGGATCAATTCCCTTTTGATTAATGACAACGAAGGTTTTCTTATTCCCGCTACACACTTTGCGTTTAAGCTCGATAACTTTCTTAACCCTCTGGTCGATGAACTCGCGTTCGGCCAGCACCTAAAATACAACATCCTAAAGTCACTTACCACTGGTTAGTGAAAGATTTAATTACCATTTTGTCCCTCTCTTCCGCGGTTTTGTAAAAGAATCCAGAATTAACCTCACTTTTTTCGTATTCCAAGCTCACATTGCACGTTAAAATGTAGCAATCTTCGAGCCGTTTCGGCATGTCGGGGTGACGGGCCCCGTGATCCAATACCAAACCTTTGACCAAAGAGGTATCCGCCTCGGTTTTGTGCTGCATTTGCATCAGTTCTACCATGTGTAAATCGACAGGTTTGTCTTTTTGTTTTATCGACAGAATTGCATCGACACACACTTCTGTTAATATATCTGCCAGGTTTTGATGCACCTAAAATTTGACAATTATTAAATTTCATATTATTCATATTACAATAACAATATATTCAATTTTTCAATTTCTAAGCATAAGTTACGATATTACAAAATCTATTTGACTCAGGCATCTAAGTTTAAAAAACCTGTATGTGTCAAACCATACATTTAATTACTTAATGTATCAAATTATCAGTTACAGCTTGCATCTTAAATAGGACCCAAATATTGGTTTTTTAAAAAGCATGATCTAATCATATTCTTGACTATGGTCTAGTCACATATATATAGATGATATAAAAAGTAAAACCATTTGTTATCATAAAATTCAAAGACAATGACATCCAAAGATGCAATTACCTTAGTTCTCAAGCTAGTTCGGCAAACATCCATCAAGTTTTCTTTGTTAATTTCGATTGGTATTTTAACTTTATCCAACACTTCTAAAGCCTTAGTTTTGGCTTTGTCAAATCCTTCCGCGAGAATTCTAGGGTGGAGCCCCTCGGCGATGTAGATATCCGCTTGCTTGAGAAGTTCGCCGATCAAAAGGACAGTGGATGTTGTGCCATCACCTATATAAATAAAACGCGGTTGGTTTATAATCACTGATAAAAGAAAAATTACCTTACCGGTCATGTCGTCCTGAGCAGTGGACGCTCTTGCAATCAGCGAGGCGGTGGGGTGCTGTATTTGCATCTCGTGCAACAGCACGTTACCATCCTTTGTTATTTTTATATCACCCGCTCCCGAAACTAACCTATAATCAAATCAAATCGCGGCTGGGTTAAAATCAATAAAAATTGAAGGTGTAATAATCGTATTCAAACTAACTAAACACAATTCGTGATAATATATTCTCAAAAAAACGCAAAATTATAAGCATGTGGTCTTACATTTTCATGGTTCCTTTCGGACCCAAGTTCGATTTCATCACATCCTGGATTCCTTTGGCTGCCGAAATGTTTATCGCCAAGGCTTGGGCGGCACGCGCAACTTCCGCTTTCGGATTCAACAAACTAATTGCCATTTTTTCGATAATCCGGCGAAAAACTTCACAAACTCGTTTCCAAAGTCTACCAGCACTCACCGGGGATGAGTAAATTTACGTTTTGGTTGTACAAAATAAGACAAATACCAATGCTCAGTTTTGGTTAGTTAACATTGACGCGGCACCGTTACGATATAATTAAGACGCAGTGTGAACTTTTTCCCAAATAGGAGTTTTAGCGTTAAGCCCTACAAACTTTTTAAGGTTATTTGACAGCATAAAAATCTTTCCATTTTATATTAATTTAACCAAAGCGAGGAGACGGGAGACAAAATATTTTGTAAAAAAATCCCCTAGAATAATTCATTTTTTAGTAAACAATTAATAAAAAAACTAATTTTTTGCAAGGGAAATCTCAAAATTGTAAAATTGTCAGTTCATCGAAGTGTTCGGTAAAAATCTTGTCAACGAAGTTATTCCAAAGCAAAAGTGATAGTTTATTATTTATAATTATTTTTTATACAATTTTTTTTGCGAAAGTTGTGTTATATTTTCTTCTCGCCTATTTCTGGTTATTTTTTAAACAGTTAAATAAAAAAGATTAAATTATAGAAATTCAATTTATTAATAAAAATACAACAAATACTAAACATTACACCGCTATGTCAAATTATATCAGAACATATATTACCACAACGTAAAATTACACAGTCTCCCTACTGTAACAAAAATTAAAACTACATATAACTTAGTTTGGTGAAATACGAAATAATTAAGGGCTCCTTTAGTGAGGTTCCCCACCACTGAATAACGAATTTTACAAAATATGGGCGCAAAATTTACGAAAATACAAATTAACTAGGCATTTTCATTACATTTATATGCTGTGGTACATTTAATTTAAGTTCAGTCGTTTATCCAAATCCCACGTAGCCTGCGAAACCTCTTTTTAATTGGTTTATCAACAAAAATATTCAACACTAGTTGGCTTTTGAACAAATTTTGCTGAGGAAACGGAAATTACCTATTACCCAGGGCGCAAAAAAAAAACCAAACAAGTTTGGAACGCGTACTTATTCGAATCAACAATTGCTTAGCAAATTCCAAACTTAACAAGTTAAAAATACTAATAAATTTTTTAAGTCACTAAATACTATAAGATGACGTGAGCCACCCACGGTTGCCAACATTGGTCATTTAGGCAAAACTAAACTGTGGACGTTCCGTTGTCAGAGACCGGTGGTGCAAATCTATGAGTAATAAATATCCCTAACTAATTATCCTAATCAGTCCAGGCTCGGCGAACTCGCCTTCAGATAGGGCGGAGCGCTCGGAGAATTTGGAAACCTTTGCATGTAGCGCTCGAGTCGCAGGTATTTCACGGTCACAAGATGTCCGGCGTACCTGGTACATAGGTTAATCAGAACTTGCATTACTACCACGTCATGTGTGATAAACGTGGTAAAAATCGAATAACTCTCGCTATCTCTTTCTTCAGTTCGCACTTACCACCATCCGTGCAGATTCCTGTAGGCGACGGCGGCATCCTGGGTATCCGCCGCCTTCAAGTACACGCACCCGCTGCTCGGTTCCGCCTGGCAGTGCAAGATGCGGCAACGGTGCGCGCACTTTGACAACACCGCTTCGCGAGCCGACTTCGCGTTCGCCACCTCCCCGTCGGAGAACATGCCGCGGATTTTCAGGCATGGCGTCGGCGAACAATTCAACGAGTTGACAGATCCGACCTGGGTCTCGAAGGCCTGACCCTGCCAGCTCTTGTTGCCGCTTCCCGGGGAGCTGTAGATCGCCGAGAACGTCATTTCGTTTTTAAAGAGTTACCGATGACCGATAAACATTTGACGGACGTAGGAAAACCGAAAACCTCGCCCAAGAAAGCAGAAATTTGTTGGTCCAGCACTTTTACACAGCATACAATTTAACGCATATTATAGAAGCTGTGATAGCTCAATGTTCGCGCAAATTATGGAATTTATTCACCCCTTATTGGAATGCTGAAAGCGTGCAACACGCTCATTTGGTGCTGATGTGTTCCGTTTGAGTGCCTTCACTTAATTCAATTTATTGTTATTGTTATATTTACTATTTTATATATTTACTAAGTGACTTTATCTAGGTAATATCCTCAGAACGATAAACCATTGTTCGACCGTTATAACTCGGGGCTGTTACATAAAGCTCGAGATTGCGAATATGTCGAACGTTATGAGTTTTTGCTTATTTTGCTTCAACAAGAAAGGAAAAATTTTTAAGTGGGCTCTTTGAAAAAATGCAGGATATTTTAAAAATTCGCATCGGCTGATCTTCCACCATAAAACCATAAAACTAATGAAGTTAACTATTTCTTCAACAAATTTTAGCTTTCTTGATATAATTTTACCACTCAGCTGATACAATATGATTAATATATAAATTATGCCCTTTCTTAATATTTTTTAAAAATAATTGTTGTACATTGGTAGCCGCCGCGGCTACACCCACCGATACGGCCGACGTTCACTTTAATCGAGAAATGTTAGCTTTCTGACTATTAGTCAAAAATACTTTTCATATTTATATTTATTTTTATGGACACAGGCGTTGCCCCGACATTTGCCAATTTCGAATACAGGAAAAAACGATCTGCTCCGACTTTTTTTAATATTTATTTATTTTTATAAGCACTATACATGGTGTTGTTATAACTACTATACCTACGTTACTGGTTAATTCTACGTCTAAAACTGCATCTTTAGAGACAGTGTATGTTATAAAGCACATAGCCTGGTTTGTTCTGTATAACTACTTCATTTTAGAGTGTGTTAAAAATACCCCGGTGTGTTTTCTTTCTCTCTGTTTGTACGGGTTTTAGACCTAGAGCGTCTGTTAAGCAACACTGTACTCTTCTTCTGATTTGCTTCACAGTAAAAGTTTCTTTAACGCTGGTTAGTAATGGTACACTTTTAGAGTTAGCGGGGTATTAAAAGGGCAGCTTTTCTTCTTCTGCTCCAGTCTACAAGTAAAATGTTCACTCTTCAGAATAGAGCATGCGTCTTAATCGTGTCCCCAGTTTTATCCGATTTTCAAGATGCAGGGAATATTAAAACACCACCCATGAAAAATTCCAATCCCTAAACCTCGCTTAAAATCGCGGGAAGCAAGTGATCGAAATAAAACGCCTTCAGCTTGGGAAGCATCTGATTCCAGCAGTCGCGGTCCGCCTCTATGTATTCGTAGGCCACCGCCTTGGGTGTCCAGACGACGAAGTAGCACCCTGCCATGCCGGTCACGAACAGCTGACCCTGCACTTGATAATAATACTTGTCGTCTCGGTTCAACGTCAACCGCCGGTCGTTCCAAGTGACGAATCGGATGTCGCCGCGAGCCACGCCCTCCTCGACAGTCGAGTCGCGCGCCTTATAGGGACACTTAACCTCGACGAGGGCGTCCTCGCCGTCTACCTTACCGTCGGGGCTGCCCGCCAAAAACGGGTAGTCCTTGTGGACGAACAGTCCGCACGGCGATACCGTCTTGCCTGTAGCCATCTGAAAGTCGTTCAACGCTACCGCTTCGTTGTCGCGACCGTAACGGGTGTAGACGTTGCCGACGAACCCCGAGCCCAGCAATTCTTTGACGATGGCTTCGCGGCCAGTCGCGTCGCGCATCTTGTAAATCCTTCCGAAATTAGACGCGGTCAGTCTCTTCCTACGCTCGACCGCCCAGAGGTCGTTATCGGTCTGTCCTCGCGTCATTATCTCGATCCTGTCCACGTCCTTCCCTAGTTCGGTAAGAAACTTCTCCCTTTTCGCTTCGGCGCTCGAGCCGTCCGTTTTATCGATTGGAGTGGAACTGCGCACGCATGTAAAGCTACCCTCGGTGCTTGTCGTCCTGGTGGCATCGTATATCTGGTGTAACTCGTCTAAATATTGCTCGTATTCTTCTCCTGTCACAGGCGGTACGTGTATCGCTGAGCAGAGCTCGTTGAGCTGGTAGAGGCTGAGACCAAGGCTCACGATTCCCGCGACCGTCGCGAGGTTAACGTCCAGCAGTTCCGATTTCGGTTCTTCGCTGCACACGGCGTGTTTCTTTGCGCATCTGGAGCATCTCAGCAAGTAGATCGAGAAAAATCCTTCGCGGACCTCGTGCTCTATGGCGACGTCGTCCGAGCGACAGAAACGAAGCTTAGCGTGTGGAAATTTGAGCACGTGCTCGATCAGGTACCGTACGTCGACTATACGACGTCCCGGTCTGTATTGGTGGTTTGTCCTGCAAACGCGACCGCTTTTGTTTTCTTTCGCGGACGACGGCGTGGGGGCGGCGGCGAAAGACAGTGTGTGGGCGTCACCGTTCTTCTTGCCCGCGGGTTCAGCAAGTTCGCGCGTCTCACGCACTTCACAAAGTTAAACGCAACGTACAGCGCGTAACGGCAAAAGTGTCGCAAAATAATAGAGTAGAATTTGAATTTTTAGTGTTTAACCCTTTCCATCCTGTAGATATGAAGCCAGGTAATTTCGAAACACACTCTCTTTCACTACCAGGGGCGCGAGGGTAAGAAACGTCAGCATTCTATTGGGATTTCAAGATAAGTTGTACGCCACCTGTTAAACTATTGGATAATACACATAGGTTATTATTTTTAAATTTTATTTGGCTTAAAAAACTATTGTTTATTGCAAGTTTGGTTGTTCTACAAGTGTTGGAGAGTGATTCTAAATATGTTTGGAGTATTTGTGTGCAGTTTTGTTTTGCTAATGACATCCAGAGCTGAAAGTTCAAACCGTTATTGTTGTGTTTCTTAAGAAAGGTGTAGATAGAGAATTGAGCTGTTCGACCCTAACAATACCAGACTCTATTATCTCAAATACGCTACTCATCGTTTTCACACAACTATTAGGTGCTAATAGAAAATGTGCATCCATAATAAACTACCGCCGACACTTCAGAAGAAAAGTAATTGTAGCCAAAAAAAAAACAAAAAATTTGGAGCCAATCTTTGGATTGAGCCATTTTGTTCCGTTGACGCGGTTTCACTTTATTTATACTTATTTTTTACTTGAAATCCCAATAGATGTTTCCCGCCCTCACACGTAAACTCCGCCTCCCACTCGCGCTCGTCACACCTACACGTTCACGCGTCACCCCAACAACTCACCCGCTACGGTTAAGGCTGGCCGACCCGATCCACCTCCACACCTCGAAGGACTCGCCTTGCACGCTCTGCACCTCGGTGCGGATCCTCGACTCGTTCTCGTTGATGTACTTGACCGCCTTCGCCCAGCTGCCGCGTTTTTCTGCGAGCATAAACGTAATCTTGACGCGTCCGACGGGGCGCAGCTTGTATAACTTACCTTTACGGTCTTTAACTGTCAGAATCATGTCGCGCACGTGATTGATTACCACGAAATTGTCGCCGGGCTCCTCGCTCGCGTTCTGCAATATCTCGATGATCCGCTCCACCAAGAAGTTCACCTGAATGTAAGCTTGGATTTTAGGCGCAAAATATATAAATCACACCAATGCAAAATAATATCTATTGCATTTTTTAACTCTTCGCAGTCTGCTACTGAAATTAATACTGCCTGCTAGCTAAAATTTAGGAAATTATCGTCTCTTAGGTAGGGATTTAAGAGACATATTAAATCCAATCTTAAAAACCAAAAAGTGTAGTACAGATTAATTTATGGAGGCTCAGTTTTTTTTTACTACATTGTATTATAAGCGAATTAAATAATATATGTATATAACCTATCGATTTTAGGTGGAGTTCATTCACAAGAGTGCTGTAATTTTGTTATTCTCACACCCTGTATAAAGCTTCTCGTCGAACTTCAAAGTCACGGCAAAATTTGTACAAATAAAAGCAATTTCCAATGATATTTTTCCAAATATCTGAAGCACACTCTTACAATCTACGATACTGTTTAAACCAAAAACACACCCTGTCTGTATATTATCGAAAAAATTCTGAAGGTAGGGGTGGTAACCCTGGATCTCCCACGTTTAATGCCCAAAAATTTTTCCAATAAAGAAATTGGTTTTCGAGAAATTATTTTTTTTCTGAAACTATGCAGTATACCGAAACTGGACTTTGCACAATGTTTTAGCGGATTAGCCATATTTTTTACGAATTTTGATTAATAATTTACTCCCGAAAAGCACAATTTTCAGGGTGTTTTACATTTTTGTCCTGTATATCATCGAAAAAATGCATAAAACAAAAGTTATAGTCTAGGATCTTACACGTTTCTCGGTTCCAAAATTTTTAAAAATTTCAATTTAAAAAAAAATATATTTGGTGACATTTGATTGCATTTGCACTGTTTAAATGTGGGAACGGGCTTTAATTTCCCTTCTATTTAAGACACTTAACACATTTCTTATATAGCACGGAATATCGATAACACCCTGTACAGTAGGTAAAAATCTTAAATAGAACAGTTTTAGCTATCTATAAGGGCTATATCGTCATGTAAAAGAAACTAACAACTGAAACAACAATTTTTGAAAAATTATGTTTATCATCGACCCTGGCAAACGCAATTTTTTTTAAATACTAAATAAGTTCCGTTATTCGGCTAAGCGCCAAATATGAAGTCGTTTGCTTCAAATTTCGAATACGGTCGAAAATCGCGAAAAAAAGATGGATGCCGCGCCAGATCGAGGCCATTTTTTTTATAGACAAGTTACAAAGTTATTCCGGAAAAAAAATTTTTTTCGGCGATGGAGATATAAAACTTTTATACGAGCGTAGATACTTCCGAAAAATTCGATTTCATCGTTTTTTGAAAGAAGATGAAAAAAAAAACAATAATCTATTGTTTGGTCCATTTGGTTTAATCAAGGGACCATCTATGATGCAGCTAAACCTTACCTCGTCCTTCTGCCTTTGCTCGTGGCGTCGGTAGTACTTGAAGCCGAGATCGCCGAAGTAAAGGACTGCGAATATCGCGCCCACAGCGGCGACGGTCTTCACTAGCGACGACAGCGTCTGGTACATGGAACAGCGCCACGGTAAGTCGGGCTTGAAAATCACCAGACTCGTGATTTTCGAGTCGTTGTTGAACACCACCTGCTCCTGGCGTATAATGCAGCGGTCAATTTTATTAAACACACCTCCGCGAAAACGAAAACTCAAGACCCTAGCGTACGGAAACCCTCACTCACCATATTTTTAGCCGCGTTCTCTTCGAACACGCCCCCATCGTTGCTCTCCGTTTGCACGACGCTGACGCCCCACTCAGGATTGAAAAAAATCATAATTTCCAAATTTCTCAGGTCGTTTTTGATCATGTACGCGTCCTTGATGCCGAAATTCGTTTGGCAGTACGTCACGATTTCCGCCTCGGTCATGTGCGGCTTGATCTTGGGGTCGAAGCAGCGATGCGCGACCGCCCTTTTGAGCAGCTCTGGACGTAAGACGTTGAGTAGGTTGAGCACGTTCTTCACGTCATCCTCGTGAACACAGTTGACGCCCTTTTTGCTCTGCGGGTCGCCCAGGTGACACGCGGGCGTGATGTACCCTTAAAAAGTGAAAAAATTTTAGAAACTTTGTGTTTTAAATTTAAACTTGTCAAATATGAATTTTCCAAAGGAACTTCCACAGGTACTGTGATACTATCTACAAAACTTCTGTATTTACTGGATTTAACTTGCTGGCGTTTCGCCAACCATCCTGTTGTCTTCTGCGGACCTTAACTGAATCTGGCTCACATTCTACTCTGAACCTACTTATATGTTGCTTGAGGGGGAGGAGCTAAAGGAGGGGCATGAACATTGTCTCGGATGACTGATTCCCATAAGACCTGAGGCGCGGTTAGGATTGTTTGGTTGCTTATAAATATATAAGTTCAACAAGAACCGACGCAGGAGGAATCCAGGAGTTTTGTAAATAGTATGGTAGTCATATGGAACGGCACTCTATAGCATAACAATTTAAAGTGTGTCTGCTTGCAAAATTTCTAGGACTTCTCATTATACACCGCAGCATTTTTAGTGCATCTCCACTCCAATGTGGTTTAAAAATGTCACATCTTGATAATAACATGTTAATTGTCTCTCAGTTATTTCTTTTTTTTTTTTTCGAGACAGACAATCACAATATAAGGATTTTTTGCATATCTTATTTTGACGGTGTTTTACTTTATCCCTTATTAAAGCGTGAGCACTTGATGAAAAATAGTGTTTTTAAAGCGTAGGCGGAGTTGTTAGTAGTACTACCTAGTACTGCTGCGGGACGCCTAAATCCTTTTTTTAATTCTAATTTGTGGGATAATTCAGAAACATGTTAGGACCCTAACATTATTTATAAATTAAAAGGTCTGCCCGAACATTGATTGAAGGGTTAATGATCGCAAAATATCGTGCAAAATCATGTTTCTCATAAGATGGTGCTGCCAATTGCACTTCTGCATCTTAAAATTTCCTCAAATACATTTTTCTTTGCGATAAATATTTTTTTTCTTTTAAATAATGAAAGAAATCCATCTAACCTCTAATGTAAACGTGCAAAAACTAAAAACGTTAAATTGAAAATAACGTCAAAAGAATTAGGTTACAACCCGTTAGTAACCAAAGACACGCAAACAATTATAGAGAGAGAGGGGAGCTCACTAAGTTGTTCTCCGCCACTACTGAAGCGTCCTCAAAAAAATTATTATATTAATATTTATAAAAAATTTCAAAAATATATAGTTTCTTTCAAATAACTTTAATTTTTTAATAGTACATGAAAACAAGGCGAAAATCATAACAAGGTTTGGCCATTTGTGATTGTTAATTACATCGAACCATCAATCGGAAATAAGCAGTCAGGTTTGACACAATTTTACTCGGGCTCGGTTTATATTTCCGTAGAATTTTCTCCAAATGCCTGCTGCCACCTTTTAATAAGCAATAAATATTTTGGCATTTCTTCCGATAGGAGTGAGCAATAAAAGGAACATGACGGGAATGTTTCCGAAGACAAACGAAACAAAAAAAAACGATTCTGTAACTGGGAGAAATATTTATTGTTTATTAAAAAATGTGCTACAAGCTGGAGGGTTTATAAAAAATAAATAAAACAATTCAATTCGAACGGTAAAACTTACATTAAAATCGACAGCGCGAACGGGTCCACACATCAGCAATAGAAGTAGAAACGAAAGTGATTTTGGAAAGGACAAAAAATAGAAAAAAATATCAAAACTAATTCAGATTAGACAGGAACCAAAAGCCCGATTAAAAAAAACCCTTACGAGCCATTCGCGATACAGTACAGAAGAATTTTCTATTTTTTACGTTCAGACTACAGCGAGATCCCGATCGCCCGAGCGATCGAGGTTTTACTGTATCTCGTTTCAGTTTTCGCCTTCTACCTATGTTGGACTTACACTTCCGACCGGATATTTTTTGCCAGTAGCTAGGAGTTGGGGGGAGGGGCATGTATAAAAACAAACCAAAAAAAAAACTAACTACAAATATTCATAAAAAAAAATCTCGCCAATTTTTGAAATAATTCAATTCCCTTCTAACAAAATTACCGCAAGGTCAAAAGGGAAGCGTGCACCCAATGATCAATGTCTTAAATACGGGTTCTCACCGGAAGTGACAATCGCGGTGTCCGATCTCATTCCCAGATAAATGACCGCCAGGAATATGAAAAACAACGCGGCACCGGCCAGCACCGCGAAAGACACAAAATTGCTCTTGCCGCTCAAGTGGCCGTTCTTGTAATCGTAAAGGGGTTCGCGTCTCGTCGACCTGAAACTAAAAAGGGGACGCGTTTCAACAGGTAGTTCAAACATACCGCCCGGTTTTCGCGGTAGTAGTTCGAAAGTATCAATTTGATGTGACCGTACCTGGACAAATAAGCTTTCGGGCCGTATGGGGAGGAGCCGTTGGTGTCGTGCTCTTTGACCAAGTCGTTTCTGTTATTTAAATCGGCGTTCCTCGAAGACGAGAGCGCGGAGAGGCGCCTTGTGAAATTGCTCAAAAACGGAGTTTCCGCTTTGTCATCCTGATCGTTGGCCGTTGCCAGGGATGAATAGCTTGGCCTCTCGTAACCTTTAACCGCAGAGAAAAAAATTCCATCTGAATCAAACTGAACAATCGTGCAACGAGGTTGAGTTCTCCAAACGATATACAGGCCGTTTTTACAACCTCAGTGAACTGTGTCGTGCGGACTGTTCTATTTTAAGAGTAATGAAATCTTCTTTGATTCAACTGTTATATTAGAATTATTATGGGCAAATTCAATTTGATACCTCATGTAGGGTAGGGTTTTAGGAAGATTTATAGCACACTTATATATTCATATATGAGGTCGCTCGATTCCACCCACTAGATAGGTTGATCTATATTAAAAATATATTAGAAAGCTTAAACTGATTTCCAACTTAAGGATTTGACATAATGACTCTAAAACATTTTCCTAGGAATTGATTTATAATGGATGTTTTCCCAGTTTGCTATTGGTTGATTTGTGGGGGTTGGTGAAATCTGAGTATGCTGTCAGTTTTATGGAGTTGTTTCTATTCCGTCTTGTAATTAGTAATTACCAACTTCCTGTTATGCAATTGGTTTTCAAGACTCAGTGTGCCATTTTTATAAGAATTTATTTCTTACCAAATATTAACATTATTCAATTTTCCAATCCACATCTGGGGAAAGTGAAGCCATAGAATTAACGTCCGAGATGACTAAAACACCGTATGTGACAAAAGAAGAATATTGTTTTAACAATTAAAATTTTACGTGAAGAGTTGCATAGTGTTTTGAACATTGACTGTTGCCAAGAGACTTTGCGTGGATGGTTCATAAAAAGAATTGGTTTTTATTACAAAACCATCAATGAGAGACAAATTTTTGTATGCACGAAATATCGAAGTACGGCTCTGGAAAGTCATTGTGGGATTCCGAATCTATTTACTGAGAGTTACAAAGAGAAGCCCAAGCGAGGTAGGCCTGCGGTTAGACTTTCATAAAAATTTACCAATGTTAAATACCAGATTATGTCGTAAAAGCGATTCAATTCCTTTATATATCCAGGTTTACTTAATGTTTTGTACACTGGCGTCGCTTGACTTAAAAAAGATACTCTCGTTTAAAATCAGCAATGTTTAGCAAGTAAGGCTCAAGAAATAGATTATTTTAAGTAGCTGCTCAAGGGGGTAATGAATGTTTCCGAAACAAAAACGATGTAAAAATAGTGTCAATTATTTTGAACTTGTCTAAATTTCATGTAGGTATCTCAATTTTTCTTTTATAAGATTAAAAAAAAAATACTTTTTCGGTCCCTGTTTACAGTATCTTCTGACGAGCACTTTCCCACAGTTGTAGAAAAATTCAAGTTTATTTTATCAAACTCTTTCCTGTTTAGGTTTAAAAAAGAACACTTTATTGCGTTTCACCAGATGATTTTTGCTAGTTTCTTAGATTATCGTTTTAAAATTTTAGTTTTTTTTTTGTAAGCAAAGTATTATTACCAGGACTTCCAAGGCTCAATCTGTTCCGCATCTGGTTTAATTTATCCGCGGCATACTCCGAGGCGAGTGAAGGTGATCCGAAGGAAGTGTGTCTCGCTGGCGAAGTCTGCGATGAGTATATGTTTCGTACGGTAGTGTAAAGAGTATCGTCCGATTTCGGAGACGAGTAAGGGCGGTCAGACAAATTCGACAATGTTGATTTGACAGGAGAGCTTCTTTTGTAATCACCATCGATTGCCGAGTCATATCTAGATGAAGCCACAATGTCTGACTCAGAGTCGGAACCCGTATCAAACTCATCCTGGCTCGTTCTCACAATTCGCTGCGTTCGCGTCGTAGTGGTGACCGTGGCGTTTCGGATTTGCCTGTTCGGGCTGCTTGAAGCAACCTGATACAAATCCATTAATAAAAGAACAATGGCCAATTAGGGACACTAAGCTGTATCTCGAAAAGTAATTGTAGCCATTGTAAAGAAACACTATGGGTGAAAAAACTTATAACTAAAGGGGGTCAAGAGAAAATGCGAGAAATTTTTTTCCTAGAAGTTCGAGAATGACCCTCAGCTAAGCTGTAAAGCCGGGATAAAGTCGATTTTGTTCGTTAAATGGTTTTTGCTTTATCTCTTAAGCGAAAGTTTATGGGGATGTTCAAACATTTCTGGAAAAAGGATTGAATTTATCCCAACTCTAAAATGCTGTTCATTTTTCAAAAAACCCTTTACAACAATTACTGTTGGAGATAGGGCCCTTCTTAATTGGGCACATGGTATATAATATAATATTACTTCAGGTTCTACAATCTTCTTTGCAGTCTTTGGGGCTTGGGAAATTGGAGCTGCCATTGTAGCCCGGCGATTTTTATCTTTTTTAATTCGTTTCGCCTCATTGTCACTTTCTTCTTCACTGGAGTAGCGACCGAGTGATCTGGAAACAATAACAAATACCCTTTTAGCCTTTTTGGAGACCAGTTTCTCGAGTTGTTTACCTTCTTCCCTCTGAAGAACCTACTTTTCTGTCCTTGTTCTCAAGCAGCAATTTGAGTTTTTTTACCATCACCTTCCTCGTGGTTCCCGTAATCGGCATAACAGGAAAACCAAATTCGAGAAGTTTTGTCCGTATCTCGGCATCGGACAACTTGTCCACATCCACCATCTAAAATGAATCGAAAGCTCGCTGCGTTTTTGGGTTAGGTTTGGCGAAAACGCATGCAATGAGAAATTACGGGCCAGAATCGCGTAAAATACATAACTTGAGTATAGAAAAGTTGATTAAAAGCCGGGCCTTACCTTTAATACGATTATTTAAAGCGAACTCAATAAATATTCTCGGAAACGCAAACAAGAAACCACATTTGTCTGACGAAAACAACTAATAAGGCGGCAAATCACGACCTTGTACTAAAAATAAAGCGGGAGCAAGGCAGTACCACTATGACTTTTCCGTTACGAGATTAAACGCAACTAACTAAAACGGCTTTTTTTGTTTTCTGTTTTTAATTTTCACTAGTTTTTTTTTCAAGATGATTATGAAATTTGTAAGAAATCGAGGATCTTTTCCTTAAATAGAAATGACGTTCGCCAAATCCAACATGGCGTTTCCGTCAAACCAATTGTATATCGTGATTGGCCAACGCCAAAACGCTAGTTCGATTCGCCAATCATAAAGCTCGACACCCCTAATGACCGTTGGAATCCGGTGCCTTGTCTCTATTTCGAATTGGACAAGTAACTCAACTCAAAATCGATTTTCAAAGTCAATAAAAATTTCTCGATTTCGTACTGATTAAAATTCAGTTTTCTATAAAAGGGAAAAAATAATTGCTAAATATAAATTAATTGCTTAAAATGGTGGGCTATCTAAAAATGGCCCAATGACCTCCGCATTACTAGAACGTACTTTACCATTTTCTATTCTGCGAAGAATTTCAAATTTTCGGTTGTCTCCTGAATGGAATAGTTTGTGTTATGTATATTAGTTTTCTGTGTTGTTAACCAAGAGATCATGAAGAGTAGTTGAAAACATTAATCGAAGTTAGAAAAATAATTTGCTGTAATGTGATAACTAGAAAATAGATAGGTCAATTCAAATTTGTTTACACTTAAACTGTTAATATAATGTCGGAAATTCGCGTAAGTTTTATATTAAAAGGGGCCAGTAGTGAATCTGGGGCTTCAGACTTAATGAAACAGGCCTTTGAGGTAATAGGAACAATGGGGTTTCGATACTAACCTATTAAAAACGCTCCCTGTTTTTTTAGATATGCCGGCAAATTATCGACAACACAAAATGGTTGAAGGAAACTGAGGTACGAATAGGAGAATTGACCAAATTAGACTACTTGATATTTGAGGATTTTGCAGACAGAGATCTTACAGACCTATTGCAAACGAAATGCGCGTATGTTTGCTTTTATTTTTTCTGTTTCCTTAATATTATTGTGGGCCCATTTAGAATTTTAGGGCCACTGGCATTAAGTGCTTGTCTCATGGAAAGCAAAGCAATACCGTCATTTCAGTGGCCAATTTTAAATGTTGCCTTGTATGATTGCGTTGTGTGTTGCTCTCACTTGCCCAAGAGCGAAAAAGTCAATATAAAAGAAAAAGTTGAACTCATGGGAGGCCTTTATACCAACGCTATTACCTCAAAAAATACCCATTTAATCACGGACAGTGCTAAATCTGAAAAATATACGGTGAGCGGCCTATTTTTCATTTAGTAGAGTAGCACTTTAAATTAAAAATAGTTTGCAGCAGAAAAAGGTTTGCAACTGATGTTGCCAAGCTGGGTAGATCATGTGTGGAAAACGAGCCAATCAAGCAACGTAAACGGGAATAGCTCAGTCATTATCAAAAAATACAAATGCCCCTGCTTCCACAAGTTAAAAATTTGCACCACTGGTTTGACAAGCAAAGGTCGAAATGAACTGGCTGAATTAATATCAAAAAATGGTTATTAATCGCAGGCTTAGCATGTACGAAAATGAAAGAGTTGTTTTAGGTGGGGAGATGGTGGGCAAATTAAATCTCAATGAAACTGATATATTGATTTGTCATGGACCCAACGGTACAAATAGCGATAAGTTCAGGGCTGCTCGGAAGGTGTCTCACTTGTATTGTGTCACTGTTGATTGGATATACGATAGTATCGAGAAAGGTTATGCCTTGCCCCATGAATCTTACGAGGTGAATATATGGTTTGTCTGATTTACAAATGTTCCAAATGTCAAGCTTTTCACGTAGCTGAAGTTGGTAAGAATTAACCTTGGTCTTGACAAAATTAACACTAATTTAATTTCGAGATGAAATCGACTAAGCAGTTCATTATTGGTGTAGAAATAACACTCCTAGAAGGCTGGTAGAAAAAGAAACCTTTCACCGGATGTATGGAATTGTAAATAATAAGATAGCTATATACTTATACTCTTATAAAATAAAAGAAAACTTCCCATTTTATGTCAAGTTTACATACATAAGAACTAAATGTTAACCCATCACCGGCTTATTTGAGTAACTCTCTACATCAGAAATAATATTTTTATGTTTTTTCCTCATATAAAGCTATAAGATGTTCGTTAATTTCTTTGGTTGGCATTGTCAGCTGAAAGTTATGCGCCTTACACCCGCGAGTTTCTTTTAGTGTTTTGAAATTTGAGCGATATTTGTGAAAAGGCTGCGTAAATTAACCCCAGAGCTTTTTTTTAACACATGAATGTTCTCTCTTACTTTCTTTGCGAGTAAACTAGCATTCTAGGATTATTAATTCTATGATTAATGTATATAAAAATTATATATATCAACTAACCTAACCAAACTATATGTTGGCAATTTAATTTTTCAAAGAAACTTCCACAGGCTACTGTAATACTTTTTACAAAACTTCTGGATTCCTCTTGCGTCGGTTTTTGCTGAGGCGAACTTACTGACGTTTCACCATTCATCCTGTTGACTTCTTCAGAGCTTGACTGAAACTGGCTCGTAGTTCACTCTGTACCTGCTTATATATTGTTTTAGGGGGGTGGAGCTAAACACCGTCTCGGATGACTGATTCCCATATCGGTGACAGGTAGAGACCTGAGTCGCGGTTAAGATTGTTAGGTGTTTATAGATTTCTGTAGACTCTCAGATTTTTTGTTGGTATAAGAACTGATTACATGCAAGAATTTTTGTTTTATCAAATAAAATTTTATGTCTGGTTTCATGAGTGTGTTCGGCAACGGCTGATGAGTTTATTTGTCTTAGTCGTAAGGCTCTTTCATGTTCTTTGAGTCTAGTTGATATTTTTCGTCTGGTCTCTCCAATGTATTCTTTGCCGCATATGCATATGCATCTCAAATGGAATTTGAGTGGTAAATCTGGTTTTGACGTTAACCTTCTTTAGAACTTTTGATATGTGGTCAGTGATATTTTGAATGTAAGGAATGACCACAGTAGCAAGTGTAGGATTGCTGTCGGGCTCATTGCTATTGGAAGGTTGTGATGAAGTGTATTTTTTGATGGAACGCTTAATATCTTTAATGTGGAAATTATTCGAGAGAAGAGCAGAGGTAAGGTGTTTCGATTCTGGGTTGAGTGACTCGGGCCGAGATAGTTATACGACTTTGTAGACAAGAGAGTTGATAACCGATGATTATTGGGCCAGATGGTGATGTGACTATGCATTAAGGTATCGGTCTGTGTGCGTCTGAAGAAGCCAGCAGGATGATTGGTGAAACGTCAACAAGTTCGACTCAGCAAAAACCGACGCGGGAGAAATCCCCTAAGTTTTGTAAAAAGGTTGACAATTTCTTTCTTTAACTACACTTGACAAAAGGGGAAACTTGTGTTTTTGATTTTCTTCGAATTTTGAAAATGAAAGCACTAACATTGCTTGATAAAAATTTTGCTGTTAACATCGCCCTACTTCCCCTCCGAAAACAATTAAAAAAATTAACAGTATGACTCTTACAAGATTTTTAAAACTGAACCGCTGGTGTAGTTGACGTTAGTCTTAAATCTCTGCGAGGAAGCCATATTTTTCGAATTCAAAGAAATGAAATGAAATGAAATAAGAAAGTGGCCACAGTGGCAGAATAAGTGTTACCTTTCATAGAGGAAGTTGTAGGCTGTAGTCCATTTGCTTCGTTTCATTCTATATACATTTATAATCCGGTTTCCAAGGTTAAAGCTGTCACGTCGACACCGACGAAAGGGAGCGAGAACATTGATCCCAATTTCTCGGCGCTGAGCGCGATCGTCGGCCCAAACAATACTCAACGTTCGCAAATCGACGAGACTGCCACAACCCCAAAACTTTTTCCTCAGTCGGCGTCACGGAAAAAGCGCAAAGGTTTGTCCATAAAACTTTTGCATTTAAAGTTCAGACCAAGAACTGGAGTGGTTTAGAACTGATTATTAAATTCTCTAATTTTCTTCAAGCCAAACTTCAGAAACGATGTTAGGAAAAACAATTTTATTTAAATTTAAGTTTTAGTCACGTATGTTAAGAGTAAAAGAAAATCAGGAAATTTCCGTTGACAGTGTTGTTATCTGTCTGAGTCAATGCATAGCTCCATCTTTTGCCAGAATCTTGTTTCTTATTCCCATCCTTATCTTATAAAAAATGAAAAAGTTTGGCAATTTACAAGAGAAGCTTTATTATTCCATGCCACATACTGCAAGATGATGTAGAACACATTATCAGGGAAATATGGACTAATATTGATCAAGCGCAAATTAGACATCAGTTCGAAGTATTTTAATCTATTAGAAAGAGTAGAGGAAACACCTGATAATTAATTTTTTGTTTGTTTAATGTGTACCATTTTGTTTCAAAAGTTTTTGTGGTAAACTGTAGTTGTTACGTTTGATATTAATTCCTTATTTTACTTAATAGGTTAGATAAAGGACGTGAATAAAACTACATGTGACAAACAATGGGTATAAAACTAGCTTTTCTTTTTAATACCTTAACCTCATTTTTTAGTACATTTTTGATGTGAAATTTATAATAACGGCTCTTGAGAATTTGATTAATGTCAAATTTTTAACCAATCACAACGTTTTACCGAAAGATCATTAAGTACTTAATCTGTTGTACCTTTTTTTTTTAACTAGTTGGATGTTGTTCGCTAATTCTTTTTTGTTTATTTGGTTCCATGACCAATGAGATATTTGAGTTTGACACATTCTAGGAATGTTATCGAAAGAGAAAATTATGTAATTTAACATTTGGGTGCGAAAACTTACAGCTTTAATGAAATTACTTCTAAAAAAATCGTATCAGGCGATGATGAGTAGGTTCATTGAGATCCCGCGTCACTGTACATTTAGGTATTTCCTATCTAAGTTATGTATATTGCCCGTGTGTTTGTGCCTAAACTGGTAGCGCTGTCACCAGCAACTCTCCCACCTTTTATATGTAAATATCCAAAAATTATGACACGCCCCGCTCTTTGACGTTCGTTGTGCGGTTTAAGCTTCCGCCGAGCTGGTGGACAACATGGACTTGAAAAAAATCAAAGGAGCGGGCCAATTCCTGGACGGGTGTTCGATCTTCGTGGCCGGCTTCGATCCGGAACACCGCGATAAGCTGAACAAGATTGTCAACTTGAGCGGAGCGACGCGCTACGACGAAGTATCCGACAGGATCACGCACGTCATAGTAGGCGACGCGTCGTGTCCCGAGGTGATAAATATCAAGACGGCGGGCCTGCCGTGTCTGCTCGTCTCGGTGCATTGGCTGCTCGAATCGGTCGAGATGCAGCGGCCGGCGGAAGAGAAACGCTACCTCTTGACCTCGGCTGATTTTGATGAGGTCGATCGGAGCGAATTAGACTCTCCTATCAGCAAAAAGGTAGGAGGGGGCGTGGCACAGAGGTTTTATTTTATTTTTTTTAGGAATTAAGTTCTCTGGCCTTTACCCTTAAATGGTACTCTAGCGGTTGTTATTTTTATTAATCTAGTGTACATGGTGAGAACTATGACGTCGATGTAATCCACTTTCCGCCGCCAGTTTGTCGCTCCTTTGTATAGGATAAATACAGCCGTCTTCACCTTATATAAAATTACTATAATATTTCTCGATCTATGTTGCATATTCATAAAAGTAGGGTTAGCCGGTAGCTCGAGGAGGCAATTCTGGTAGCTCGATTTTAATTTTAAAAATACAAACTGCAAAAATCAGAGACGCTTCGAAATTCCACAAAAAAATCTAATTGTCATAGGTAGGTCATAGAGGTAGTTCACTGTTTATTCCAAAAAATTAACAAAGTAGCTCAATACATTGAAGAGGTTGGCTACCACTGATCTAGAATATTCTTTTGATGCCAATATGACATCCAAAAATAACCGAAACATTAAGCATACCGATATCTTGCACCCTACCAATTTCATCTTACTTAGGCACTGAACCTATTGAAAACGACATCTATTGTAACCGAAAATGAGCTGAGCGCCAGGGGCGGCGCACCACCTCCGGAATATTCCGCGGACGAGCAGGACGTGACCCTGCAGCGCTACATGAAATCAGTAGCGTCGTCGGGTAGGACTGCCTCTAATCTCACTTTTGCCCTCGAGGCCGAAATTTATTTGCTATCATAGAACTGACAGAGGACACGCTGGCGGACTTGCTGAAAAACAACGACAACGGCACCTTGCGTGGCGACCGCGAGGCCTTCTCGATCAAAAGACCCGACCACGGATTTAAACCAAGCGACGCTTCTACCCAGGTGTCGGAGGTGTCGACCACCCTAAGTCAAGAGATGAGCGCCGATCTGCAGATGTTCGACAAGTTGAGGTTCGTGTTGGTCGGTTTCGATGAGGAGAGCAGTGAAACGCTCAGGGAAAATATAGAGAACACCGGCGGTACGGTGGTAGGGGGTCAGTTTAAAGGTATTCCCGATTACGCCGTGGTGTCCGCGTTCGCTGAAGTCACGCTGACGCAGACCGTCAAGCAGGAAGTGAACGAGTTCTGGATCATACAGTGCCTCGAGGAGAACGCCCTCGTCGACATCCGGTGAGTCGCTCCTCCCCTATTCCACAGGTGTCTATTTTTCCAGCATAGCAACCAAAGTTATAAGATGGTTATTATAGACTTTAAATTTGAGATAGTCCCATAGAAAATAATCACATGTACCAAAATCTGGCGTTAGGAGGCAAATTATCGAGGGACGTTTCGCGTGCCGTTTTCGTGAAACAAAAACACGTTCGGGATGTTGTTGTGCAACTATCATTTGATAAACTGAACTACACCACAATGTTAACGAATGTTTACATATAAGTCTCTACAGTTTCAATGGCGAACTCTGTATAATAACCAAGTCGAGTCATGTATATGGCAAGTAGATAAGCGAAGAGAGCTACAACAACAAAAATTACAAATACAAAGTTTTTCAGAGAAAATTTCACAGGCTATTGTAATACTATTTACAAAATTGCAGACGGTTCGCCAATCATCAGAAGTTTTGTAAATAGTACAAATATAAGGTCCTTAGTCTGTGGGAGGTATATTAACTTAGTTTAGTTCACATGTCTTATATAACTCCGTAGTCTACCTCTCATATATATATACGAGTTGGTGAGATGCTGTACATTTTGCTGCATATTATATACTCTCTTCGCTTATTTACTATGCTAGCTTTAGAACGGGGTTAGGCTCGCAGACGTCCAACCACATAGGTCATAATGATAAGATGAGAGGAAATAATTTCCCTGTGGCGTGCGATTAAAATTTACAAACCAGATCGCTATTATTAAAATTTAAAAAATTAAAAAATTTTGTGACCTATATTGAGTTAAGTTTCAAATTTACCTATGATTTTGAATACCTAAAAATATGTGCATATAGTATCAGTAAAAACTACCGCCGATGTTTAGCACTGGCAACATTCTTTGAACCCGTCAAGATGTTTGCATCACGTTAAAAAGAAAGCAATACATATCCCTGGATTATATATCTATGGTTGCGCTATAACGTTTGTGTCGTACAAGTCTTGCACTAAAGCCTCATTAATTTTTATTGTATTTTCTTCGTTAGATGTAATAATTTCTTCTTCACCTGAAACATGAAAATTTGGTGTTCAATTATTTAGCATTTTCTCGCAGTTATTATGCGTCCAATGCTACATAGATTCCCGTATAATGCTATTTTAGATACTACCACAAGCCGATGACTTTGCATGCTACCAGACCGTTGAAGAACTGCGTAGTGACGTTGAGTAGTTTCGTCGGCAACGAGAGGCAATTTTTGCGCGAACTGATCGCCGCTTTGGGGGGCGTGCCCCAAGAGCAGTTGTCCCGTAAACACATCGAAAGCAAAAGTAACTTTTACGCCGATTTTTACCGTTCGTTCCGACCCTAAGCGTTTCTCCGTTTCCGTTCCGAATTGTAGACGTTCTCGCATCTACCCATCTGGTAAGCTTAGAAGCCAGCGGGAAAAAATACGAAGCCGCGTTGAAATGGAACCTGCCCGTCGTGGCGAAAGACTGGTTACTCGAGTGCGCTCGCACAGGCATCAAAACTGCGGAAAAGTGTTACGTACTTGGTAACGGCGTGGCGGAATCAGACGAGTCGCTTAAAACTCCCCCTCGCGAAGAGAAAACCAAGCTCCAGAACGACGATGTCGACCCGAGCAAGATAAAGTCTTCGGTCGGAACGCCCGTGAGCAGGAAACTCGACAGCAGCACAACAGGTCAGTGGCGTAGCAGGTGCTTTTCGTTACTGACGTTACTGATGGTACTAGATACTATATATTTTGTATTATAATTATTGACCTATTAATATGAAGCGACAAAGGTCAACATGCCTCAAATGTCGCTGGTTTCAAATATACAGAGCGTTCAAATTTTATTCTCAATTTTCTCATTGAGAAAGTTTTTATTGTATAATAATAAAAATTCGTAGTTTTAGGTTTATGATTTTGACACTTATTTTTACTTTGGTCCTATAGGGCACTGTTTTTGAAAGTTGTGTGATAAGGTACTCTTGTTTAGGCCGTCTAATGCTGCGGTTTTTGACTCAAGTTCAAAGTATTTTTTCTGAATTTTTTAAGTAAATACTTAAAATATCGAAATGTAAGCAATAGAACCCCAATGTTTAACTATAACAATTATGGTGATAGTAATAAAAAAATATTGTTATGTTCCAGCTCTGTTTCAGCAATGACTACATTGTACAAAATGCTTAATAACTTGATGGATGCACCAGATCTTCTGGCACCTGTTGGTTTTCATATTTCTCCTATTAATGCAGGAAATAAGGCTCTTTTTAACATTGATTTTCATAGGACCAACTATGGCGTTAACTCGCCTATGAATCGAATATGCAAGCTGACAAATATTTTACTCACAAATAACGAGCGTATTGATTTATTTTCTGACCCTCTCAGTAGTTTTAATTGCAAAGTAAAGAAAACTGTTTTTAATCAACCGGCCGCGTTGTAAACTGTTTTGTTTTCCAAGGTTACAAAAATTTATTTTTGAATAATAAACTCGAGTTATTTTAGAAACGGTTAAACCTTTAACAAACTCTTTGAAAAAATGGAGATGAAATTCTTGTAGATGCTATCGTATGATGAGGCAATTTATTTTATTTATTCTATATTAATAACGCTCCTGCCCTTGTCCACGCCCTGCAGAGAAGACGCCCCTAAACCGAATCTACGGAACCGAGAATGGTTCAGACACGCCGGAAACGTACAGCCAAGTGACGCCGATCAACAAGATCGTCCAGGACGCGATCGATAACAATCTAATGCCGACCCCGCCCAGTCCGAAGGTGTATTACCCGTGGGACCCGAAAACGCCCGACACGCCCCTGGGCGCGTTCATACGTCCGAACCCGTCGCCCCGCCTCAGGAAAGAGATGCAGCGTTACGTCAATTCGTTTCCCGAGTTCGAACCGCCCAAGAGACGTCTCAGCACGCCACTGTCCGAGCTCAAGCGCCGTCTGATGGACAAAGTGATGGGGCGGGGCGAGTACGCGGCGGAGGCGGTGGCGGGACCGAGCACGGAGACGCGCGACTCGGAAACGGAAGAAGGCAGCGGCGACTCGCACGTGTTTTCCGACAGGGACGCGCGTACGGAGGTACATTTTTTTTTGTTTATATTTAGAATATATTATTAATTGTTAACGTTGAAATACTAAGAGAATTTCCGTTGCCTTTTTTTATTTTTAATTATACGTCTCGGCCAATTGGATCACTGTAATTTAAAATAAAGGCAATGCAAGTTTGACAATATCTTAGTATTTCTACCGAATCAGTATCTACTTGTTCGACGTTGATGTCCCATATCGGTATTACTAAGTAACTAATATTTAAAATAGCCATACTTATCTGGAACATAACATTAGAATAGGTAAAGATAGTCAAATATGTGAGATTTAAAGCCGTATATGGCCACATATGGCTCGGAAATACTTATGTTGACTATAAAGCCCGCAGATAAGTTGAGAGTAAATCAAAGAAAAATTACAAGAAGAAACGTGGTATCAAACAGGCTAGTGAGATAAAAAAAAATACTCAAAGCAAATGGAGATGGGCGGTTATATTGAGTGACAAGAGGTGGACCAAAAATTCATAGAATAGAGACCTAGAGAAAATAAGAGAAAGCGGAGTGGACCCCCAACAAGATGGGAAGACGACCTGAGAAAAACAGCGAAAAACCGAAAGCAGAAGGCACAAAACAGAATACTGTGGAAGGAGATGGAGGAGACCTATATCCAACAGTCGATGCAAGAGGTTGGCGCATGATGATGAATATTTAAAAATTTGTTGAAAATCTTGTGCACCCTAAGTATCATGTGTATCATATAGTGGGTGAACGATCCTTTGTATTGTGATTAATCTATCTTGCGGATCATAAGTGAACAGTTATTTCTATCGTACGTAAACTTCCTTTGTATGGAAATGCACAATCCTGTGTATTGTGCATAGCGGGTGATTGGTGTTGTGTATCAATATTGTAGTTTTTTTAGTGTATTAGCAGCGGACTCCTCAGGGTCAAGATAGTCAAACACATACAGAGTTCTATGAATGAATTAACTGTAGATTTTCTTCTGTGCTGGCCTGATTGTCTTGTATCTTACGAATCGCTCATAACCTTAGTCAGTAATTGAACTGACATGGCTTTTACTTGATGAAAATCCATTTAACAAAATAAATAAGAACTAAAAGTTCATATTTTTACGAACTTATATATTTTCATATGACAATTGTTTCGACAACATCGTGTTTTTATCAAATGTAATATTTACAAACTACCTGCTACTATATATACCGAAAAATGACAATAAAACCTTAATTAATGTTGTTAATGTTAAGCAATACATTCGAATGTCTCATTTTGTTAATCTCCATGGCACAAAAAGGAGAAAATTAAATTTATTGGAAGGCATGGAGTTAAACAAAATGAGACATTCAAATGTATTGCTTAACGATCAATTAGATTTTTCGGTATATGTGGTAACAGGAAGTGTGTAAATATTACATTTGATAAAGACACGGTGTTGTCGAAACAATTGTCATGTGAAAATATATAGGGTTTTTTTTTTCCATGTATGGCATTACTGTTCAAGATGACGACCGATTTAACAGCGGTCAAGTGATTTATTCTCAGTATTTGTTTGGCAATTCATCATGAATAGGCTCACGCCTGAACAACGCTTGCAAATAGTGCAATTTTATTTCGAAAATAATGGTTCTGTGCGGAACACGTATCGTGCACTACGTCCATTTTATCGTCGACAAAACCGTCCATCAGAGCAGTTAATTCGATTAACCATGGAACGTTTTCGCACCACGTTTACTCTTATTGATAACTCGCATCCTCAGAGACGCCGTACGGGGCGTACAGAAGAAGCTATTGCTGCTGTAGAGCGTAGCATTGAGGAAGACCTGAATGAGTCCATCCGCCATCGAGCACAGGAATTGGATCTGTGTCCATCCACTTTATGGAAGATTTTGCGGAAGGATCTTGGTTAACGTGCTTACAAAATCCAACTCGTGCAAGAATTGAAGTCAAACGATCATCAAATAAGGCGTAGATTCGTCGAATAGGCCCAAAACGAGATTGCCGTTGTTCCCGATTTTCATAAGCGATGAAGCGCACTTCTGGTTGAATGGCTACGTCAACAAACAAAACTGCCGCATTTGAAGCGAAGCTAATCCTCGAGTGTATGTCGAAACACCGTTACATCCAGAAAAACTAACTGTTTGGTGCGCTTTACGGGCTGATGGAATCATTGGTCCGTACTTCTTCAAAAACGATGATGGCCAGAACGTTACAGTCAATGGAGCTATGATTACTAACTCTTTCATTCCTGAATTGAATAACCATGATGTCCAGGAGATGTGGTTTCAACAAGACGGCGCAACATGTCACACGGCTCGTGACACAATCGATTTATTGAAAGACACGTTTGGTGACCGCCTAATTTCACGTTTTGGACCTGTTGGAAGACAACATTCGCCGTGTTATTGCCGATATACGGCCACAAATATTGGAAAAAGTCTACGAAAATTGGATGTCCAGATTGGACTATATCCGCGCCGCCCGTGACGGACATATGCTAGAAATCATATTTAAAATGTAATGCCACGAGATTATCTTTCGGATCAATAAAATTCATGTCAATCGAATAATCCATCGTTGTTTTATTGCAACTTAAAAACACCCCTTATAATTTCGTGAAAATTTGAACTTTTAGTTCTTATTTATTTCCTTAGTCAGTAACATTTCCGATATTAAATTAATATGCATATTGCGGATTCTTTTCCATTGCGTTTAGAAATCCGAAACCAAAAAGGCCATCGACCACAAACTTCAGAAGTTCCAGGAGATGTTGATGGCGAGCGGCAGTAACAGCGGCCCCAGGCGGAGCAGCAGAGCGTTCGAGTCCACCAAGAACCTTCTAGGTAATTTTGAAGCCATTCATTTCCAGACGTTTTCCTCGATAAAGCACGCAAGTACCGTTCTGAGAATGGATACAACAAGTTACTTTGTTTTCTTCAGGGACGATCAAGAAGAACGATGTACAGTCGCAGGCCTACACCGTCGGCTGGGACTACGGCGAAGAATCCGACAATTTGCCTCAGAGACAAGTCGAGCGAGAGTCGCCGCGGCGCGTCTTTATGTTGTCCGGCATCCAGAGCGCGGAACGCGACCGCATAGCTAAGCTGGTGACTGACTTGGGCGGAGTCGTAACCAACTCTGCCAATTACGATCCGTCGTGCACGCATCTACTCTGTTCCAAACCGGGTCGCAACGAGAAGACGTTGGCATGCGTGGCAGCAGGCAAATGGGTCCTACACGTGTCGTACGTCGACAAGTGCGTGGAGGCGGGAGCGTTTTTAGATGTGAGTATTATGGGATTTCCTAATCTGCTAGTAGTGGTTAGATCTATTGAGACACTTCGAAACCATTCAGTCAACTAACCTACTTTTTAACAATATGCTATGTATAAGCCAATTTGCGGGAAACTCAATGTTTCCTGGAGTTCCCTTTTTTGCAGCCGCAGGTGGAATAATAGTATAAGTTCACAGGACTAGGTCGAAATTAAGAAACAACGAAACAAAACCTTGAATTAAAGTTATAGGCCTACCTTATGTGCATGCTGGAGTAGGATAGTAAGCTCGGATTTTGTTGTCCACTGAAAAAAGATCAATTATAAAAAAAAAATTAAATTGTAGATATTGGTAGAAATAGTTCACTAACACTAAAAAGATTAATGGGTTACAGAGAAATATTTGGTTTATTTTTCGCCGTTTACGGTAAGCTCGCATTTTTCCCATTCGTGAGCCTTAAAGTCTTCCCTTTTTAAATCACTCCTATAAAATTACCTTCGCCCGTGGATATAGGAGGGACCATTCGAGTTCGGCAACCCGAAATCGTACGACACTCTCCAGTACGACGGTTTGGACGTGATGATGCAAAACGTGTACCATTGGAGGACCGAGGTACAGCGTAGAGGTTACGGCGCCTTCAACGACATGAGGGCGATCGTCATCGCGGAGAAACGGGATCCCATCGTTAAGGTTATCGAGGCCGGAGGCGGGGTCGTGGTCAATGTAGAGTGAGTGCCGGTTTCCGGGCCTTTTTGGACGGTCCCCCTCTGTATTGTCACTCTCTGGTTATAGGCCGCCGTTCGATGACGCGATCCACGCGACTCACTGTTTGTTGGAACCGAAAATGGTTAGGGACCTTGCGAGATTCGTGCCTCTCGCCCAACAGGGTATCAAGTGCTACAGCACCATCTACATTGATCATTATCTGAGGCGGACGATTAAAGACTCTAACGATCTGCTCGTACCGGAACTCGCGCGGTACTACCAACAGACCGATGATTTCGACGATAATTGAGTTGTCAGCTGTTTTTGGCATACCTTTCATTGAAATTGTATTTTCATTTATTCTATTTTTTTAAATAAACTACTTTTTAGGGATTTTTGCTTTTTTTTAAATAGAAATATTAAATTAAGTTAGATGTACTGTGTTTGAGCTCATTTATATTAACACTTGATGAGGTTTTAAAATGAAAATACTATACATAGAGTAACTCACCAACCCCCGCAATTGAACAAGTTAATAATGTCAAAGTATATTCACAACACTTACTATATACAAAAGTATCGTAAAATGATAAATACTTTAATGTTTTTCATTTTCGTAACTTTGGGCTAAGCCCTTTCGCCCCGGTTCGGCCAATTTCACCTCCGTCTCGCCCAAATTCTGCTCCAACCCTTTCCAGGTCTTTTCGGCTAAGAAAGCGGCCCCGAAGTTGCTACGCAACGCTATAATTCCGTCAGTTTTTAAAGCCAGTTCGTCGCCACTCATCGCCGGCAATTCTTCTTGTACTATATTAGCGGTCCTAACTTTACCGGTCAACAAACTCACGTCTGTCTCATTTTCGTCCATTTTAATGGATCCGATATCGTCTACGTCTTTTAAATATGCATTGTAATCATACGAAAATTGAATACCATTGGTGGAAGGATTTAAAGCTAACTCGATATCGAACGGCGTCACTATGGGTCTATAAAATTCACGGCTTTCATATATTTCGTTCATGGCGCAGGTTATCATTACATAAACATCCATCTAAAATGAAATGAGTAGTAATGAGGATCCTGGAAAAATATTCCCAACAACATTATAGGAGAGATCCAACAAGTCATTCGCCGAGAGGTAAACCGCTGAGGAATTTTAGTGTAAAATCTTGAGAATTAGTGAGGTACTAGTCAAGGAATTAATTAACGAAAAACTTTTTCTTAGCGTCAACTTTTATGCAGAATTTACTGCGTTGTTAACTAAAATGGTTATACAGTTATTCTAAAATGGTTTTGAAAAGCATACAGCTGACTGTTGTTATAAGCATAACCCTTATATAAGATAATAGTTATTGTTACGCGAAAGTATAATATTTGTTTATTGTTCTTCTTAATAACAATTCTTTAATTTTTTGTTTAAATATTATTTCTTAATAGGCGTTGTATAGGTCTTAAAATATTAATGTTTTTTTATTTTTAAATTTATTCTTATTAATAAAAACTTGGCATCGAATTGTTGGTATTAGTGATATTACTAAGGGAAATTAGTAGTTCCAACTAGTTAGGGAATTTGGTTGTAATTGACATATTAGTAACAAAATTAGTGGTATAGTGGTAAAATTGAAAATTTAGGGTCATCACTAGGAATTAGTATCCAAGTTTTTGATCGCGGTTCACCCCTCGGCATTCAAAGACTTGTACATCACATTTAGCAAAAAAATCTGAGAGATCTCTTTTCCCAAAAAAAAAAAAGATACAAACAATACAGACCTCTCCTATGGTGTATTTGTGCATAACTTACTTCCGGAAAATTGGCCAATTTGGCAACTGTGGGCTTGCCAACGCTAATTAAATAATACTTTTTGCCCCTGGCCTCTATTAATTTTTTAATCCTCTCGATAATGTCGATGTAATTTTTTACACCTAGTGTTCCAATGACAATTCCTATTGTTTTGCTGTCTTTGATTTTTTCCACAAGAAAATGCCTTTTCTTAAATATTCTGGCATCCAATTCAAATTTTGAAAATTTCGCGGAAATTTGTTTGGGATTGTAAAAGAACACGTCTTTGACTATAAATTAAAATATAATGAAAGGATGTGACATCTTTAAAAAAAAAAAAAAATCTTACATCGAAATGTCAGGTAAAGATTTACCACTTTTCTGTCACTGTTTCCAATGAATAATACAATTTGACCTTCTAAACTGGACAAATCCTGTTGTATTGTAAAGATCTCGACCTTATGGTACAACTTCAACACATTTTCAATGAAATCTACAAATAAAGATGCCCTCACTCCTATTCCTACATGGAATAAAATAAGACTCACCCAGCTTGTGTATGTACTCTGAATCCACCACAACACTAACAGGGTTCTGACTAAAATGCTCATGGTATAAGAATTTCAGTTCCTCTACATCTATTTCAAATTTTTCATAGATATTTAAGTAAGATATGCTTGCGGAGGATTTGGAAAAACAAGTTGGACCAAAGTGAATGATAGCATCTGCGTTGATATGCGCCGCGGCAATGTAATCAACGCAACAGCTGCAAAATGCGAGGATTATTGGAAACCGTTTCCAGACGGCTGTTTAGTAATACCTTTCATAAGCAGTGTCCCCTAGAATGTACACGGTTTGACCTAAAACGTCTTGTAATCTGAAAGCGACCTCGCTAGAATCCGCCAACATGTGATCGGGAAATTGCAAACACACCTAACAAGTAAGTATGTGCGTAGAAAGCATTAAAAACATGTGTCAAAGTTACTTTTTGGAATCCGTTGAGTCGGATCCAATCTGCGCATTTCTTTATTTCGTACACATCTTCAAGAAGTTCGGCTGGTGTGATTCCCGGCTCGTGGCTTAAATTAACCCCTTTTTCTAAACTAACTGCTTCGGAAGACGAAAACTGAGGCATTTGGAGTTAGGTTAGACAACGAATTATAACAATTAAAATTCTCTTCTTTCCTTTTGATGCATTTTATGTAGTAACACAACATTCTTCTTCTTAAGAATATTAAGGATCAGGCAAGTTCGCTGTAATTAATCGCCCATCACCGACATCAAAACAATATTTAGGATCTTCTTCTATTTACTTACAAGGTGAATCTGCTGGTGCCATTTAGCATACATAGCCACTTAATAATATAAGGGCCCATTAACGATAAAAAATGTGCCATTTTATTTCTACACAGCGATTTCCGCACACTTTACTCATTTTTCCAGAACATATAACGAGATCTAGGCATACTTTGACAAAATACTGCAGTAAAAATGCCAATCCAAACTTATTGACGACCTGTCAGCGGGCAATAGATTTTGAAAGCCGCAAGATCACTGGCTAAAAACGAGATTTTTTTTCATAGTTACTTCATAAGTTCCTGTATTATCTGCCTAGGCAGCGCCTCTATATTTCATGTAGCGTAGGGTGCATTTTTGAAACTCACTTTAGGCAACGCACGTGGAGATAGAGTTTCAAAAACTAATGCCGCTAGTTTATAGCTGTTTATCTGTGGCAAGAAAAAATTTTCAATTCACGTGACTATTCGCGCACCATGCTGCGAAAATTTAAAAATCTCTACTACAGTAAATTATTCAATCACTTTATTCAACACGAAAAAAACAAGATCAAGTTAAAAAACTTTACTCAACACGAAAAAAACAAGTTCATGTTGAAAAATTTCATTGAATAATAATACAATGCAAAGGAGTTGCTCATACTATGAACTACAACCATGTCCACTGTTATATTTGACAGTAAACTGGAACGATATTCTTAAAGTTGAGGTATTTTCTACTGTACTGGCCACTGCTGCCAAGATCATTGACGTTAGAGTCAGGCGGATCTTCTTCTAGGTCGAGCACTTTAAGACGTAAGCGTATTTTTAAAATTCTTTAATGGTTTCGGCAAATAACTTTAACTTGTAACTTGTTTGAAACGCTAGCTTCGAAATTTATAAACTGCAAAAAAATCAAACGCACTTCCAAAAAAAAATCTGCCTCCATATCGGTTCGCGCATGGTTCGCCTCCGCATTCGCTCTTCCGAAACGGAGAAAACTTCTGAATTTCAGTGCGCGCACCCAAATCCGTCGGGAAAGACGAACGTTATTTGCGCGTATCCTCCTCAGGCGTCGTCGCGAATCGACGTCCAATGTGTTAACGCGTCTTCTTTGCGAACGTAAGTGGATGTAAGTTTCCCAATTTTCTCTCGCTGGTCAAATGAGCTGCTTTTTCGGTTGCTTATTGCTCATTCGAGTTTTATATTTAAGCCGGCTTTTAATCCAAACGAAATGAAAACAATTGATGAGATAAAAAATGGTGTACCAGCTATACCGAGTGTTTCAATGTGTCGCCATTGGCATCTCGGAAACTGTAAGAGATATAGAGAGGCTCAAATATCGTATATCGTTTTAGAAAGTGAATTTATTATGTTTTTTCTAAACAAAAATAAAATGTCGAATTAATGAACCATTTTTAATTTTCTATGATATTTTAGGCGGGATTGTGTCTTATTTTCAAATTATTTTGTTGTCAAGGCGATTTTGTCGCAAAATTTTCGGTATCTTCCTAACCACATTTTTTTCGCAGCGAAAGTACTTACAATATATCCACAAACTACGCATTTAAAGCCTGTCCTAAAATTGGCGCCAAAAAGAATATAATCAAGAAATTAATATGATCGCAAAATTTGGGCCGCAGTTATCTCTGTTGTAGGTAAATGGTAAAATAATATCTCTTTTAGTAAAAAAACGTTTTACAGTGAACTCCGGTTATGAAGTACCCTCTAGGGACCAGAAAATGAGTACTCTATAAGCGGAAGTACGCTATAAAAAAATACGAAAAAATTATGTGGGTACGTAAATATTTTTATTTTATATAAAAATTGAAAATTAATAAACACTAATATAGGCACTAAAAAATAAAAAAAATTAAGCTACCTAAACTATAAACTTATCTATCTATATAAACTGTACAGCGTACAAGTAAAAATACATACTTTTTTTTTAAGTAAAAAATTCGTTATTTTTGTTTGTTTATTTTTTTTCAATGCAAGTTTCATATTCTCCATATGCTTCTCAACCTTCCAGGACGCTTGCATTATATCATTCAAAAATGCGTAACCATTCTAGCGGCACAAAGCGCTTCAGAATAACTTGGTACTTGCTCCTATTGAACATCATGGGCATCCGTTGTTATTAAATTATCATCAACTTGGCCGCTATTGCGCAACCAATTACTTAGGGGAACCAATCATCATCGGCATTATTTTTGTACTTCCCGAACCACTAAACCAGAGGTAAGTCATCGTCTGAATCAAACTCATATTCCGATTTTATCAGATCTGCATGTCGAAAGCAGTTTGAAATAGTGGTTGAAGTAACATTATTCCAAGTAATTTTATGGTGTCTAGGGTAGTGATGTTGAAAGGTTCATTATTTTCAAATGACTGGATGAAACGATAAAAAAATATTTGCGGTAATATGTCTGAAGGCCCTGATCCATTTGTTGGACGACTGGACTGTTGGAAGCAAAAACTCTAATCTGATATTTGAAAGGAATATATTTTTTCCATGAGTTGCAGAATTGTCAACCAGAAGCAATATTTTGCTATTCTGACGTTTTAGTTTTCCATCCCAATCATTTAAATAATTATAAAAAACTGCTGAAGTCTTCCATGCTCGCTGGTTTGACTGACAGGTAGATTTTTTACATTTTTCATTCATCTCGGTCGTTCACATTTACCAATAACAAGAAGTTTCCGCTTCCTGCCATATTTCCGCAAACCCAAACGGTGTACCTCAACTTCGACTGCTTCCCACCCAAACAATTTTCTCCTCTTAATTTAAGGGTACGATCTGGAGTCATCTAGTAAAATAGCCCAGTCTCGTCACCATTGAAAATATCCTCAGAGCTGCAATTTTGTGCAATACTGGGCTACTTATCCTCTAACCATTTCAACACAGCTTGCTTGTTAACATCTCCTGCTTCGATTGAACTGTGGTGGCTTTTACTTGATGAAAATCCATTTATCAAAATAAATAAGAACTAAAAGTTCAGATTTTCACGAAATTATCTATTTTGACATGACAATTGTTTCGACAACACCGTGTCTTCATCAAATGTAATATTTACAAACTACCTGCTACTGCATATACCAAAAAATGGCCATAAAACCTTAATTAATGTTGTGAGAATTTAAGTTCCATAACGATTTTAATTTAAACAAACATGTATTAGCGAATATCATAAACTCTCAATTAATAGATAACAACAAACACATAGAAATTTCTCAAATGTCACTAGTAAAAACTATCAAAAGCAAAGCTTCTGAAAATAACATAATATTTACACGTGCAGATAAAGGGAAGACAGTCATAGAGCTATCGAACTCCCAAAATATATTTCAAAAACCAACAATTTTCTTAAACCGGAACTTTTTCAACGTATCAAACACGATCCTACCGAGTTATATCAAAGACACCTCAAGGAAGTAATTACTAACTCCACGCTATTAGCGACGAATCCACAACCGCGGAAATTATATTCTTTAGTTAAATTAGATCAGTCGTGTCTTATGTAACAGCTCCAGCAGTTAAACTCTCAACAAAATTTGTAAATATTTTAAAGTTCCACACAGATTTTAAACCAAAATTTGCAATACAATTTTTTTTTTGAATTAATCAACAAAATTAAAGATATCAAAATCCCTTCTAACGCAACACTATTGTCTTTTGATGTACAAAACTTATTTCCCAGTATTTCACCTATGGATGTGATAGATTTAGTCGATGTCACCCTAATTCGGAAACAGGTTAACCCATTGGTGAAACAAGATTTATTAGATTTCTTAATAGTATCTTTAGGCCAAAATTATTTTGAATTTAATGGACAGATTTACATCTCTAAGGAAGGTTTGATTATGGGAAACCCTCTTAGTCCTTTGTTAGCCGAGATTTTTATGGATAATTTGGAGAATATCATACTAGCACATCCTTTAAGTAAAAGTTTTCTATGGTGGTATAGATACGTGGATGATGTCTTTGCTTGCTTTGTTGGAACGGACAGACAATTGAATTCTTTTTTTAAATTACATTAACTCATTACATAATCGTATAAAATTCACAATCGAGATTGAACAGGATAACTCTATAAATTTTTTTAGACTTAAATATTACGAAAGTGCAAAACAAATTAGAATTGAACTTAAATTCTCACAACAACATTAATTAACGTTTTATGGTCCTTTTTCGGTATATATAATAGCAGGTAGTTTGTAAATATTACATTTGATAAAGACACGGTGTTGTCGATACAATTATCATGTCATAATATATAATTTCGTGAAAATCTGAACTTTTAGTTCTTATTTATTTCGATCTCCTGCTTCACCAGAGATGTTTCCGACATTTATGTTGTGACGAACTTTAAAACGTTCGAGACACCCTGTAGAACAACTAAAATCTTCATATAATAATCTCTATCTTTGCTACTTTTCTTTTACAGTAAAAGACTTGCGTCGATCCGCCATTTTAACCATAAACTCAAAGAATCCTTTTCATAAAAAAACAAAGTGGAAACTGTCGGCCGGACACGCACGTTTCAGAGAAAACCTAGAAAAATGAAAAATCCAGATTATTTTGGCCGGACCAGTAAAATATGTACGAAATACCCAAAAGTACGTTATAAACGGAGTTTACTGTATTTACCAGGAATTTAGATAACTGATGTAATGTTTTTTACCTGCGGACGCAATGTATCTAGGAGTACAAAGTCGTTATTAGATTGGTAACACAGATACACTTTTTCAAAAAGATTTATTGTATGGAAGGGAGATCTTTTGTATATAGTTTTTGCTTATTTAAATTATTACAGTACTAATTTACGGGCTGTGGAAAACAGAGTGCGAACGGTTTTATATTAAAAATATTTAGTTCATATTCATAACGGCCATTAGTTCTGTATGGACAGGTCCGGATTTAAAGGTTTTCATAATAAAAATGTCGCGGGAAAAACTTTTTTTAATACAACAACATTTTGAGGTTAAATTAAATTTAGTTATCTTATCGAATGTTTGCAACCAGTCCGACCACATCACACGGAAAAAGCCCTTGATTAATTATTCACATTTTGAGCCAAAGCTTCTCAAATTACTATTTGGCCAATTGTCCACGAAACTCCCTGTTACGAAAAAGAAGATGCTACGCCAAAATTTCGTCCGTCATATCGCGTTCTAATCGACGATGAAATCACGAATATATCATTTTATGAGCGGCAAAAGGTCCGCTTGGCACAATGGACGTTGGTTTTATTCTCGAAAATAAAATTGGAACCAATAAAACACACACACACACACATACATCGCTTGCGGTGTGTGTTTACGTCCCGTTTTATGATATACCCTTTCGATTAAAACGAAAAGATACCGCCATTGTTCCGCGGACATTTCCATTGGACCTTTTATCGTTTCGATACATGCGACAAGCTAAATGCTGCGTTACTAAGTTAGCGTACTAAAACATTCAATCTATATAGTAAATAGGAATATCAAAAAAAGAATATTTATTGCTATCATTATTTGAGCGAATGACCCTGACGTACATGCCTAATGTTCTATGGTCAAATCACGTGATACCATAAGCATGGAATAGACATGACATTCAGAATATCCTGTCTCAACAATAACCAAAAAGCTGTTCAAGACGTCACAAGAAAAATATATATTACATCAGAAATAATCCGAAATCGAAAATGTACCGTTTTCTTACTCAAAATTGTCATTGCCTCTGTTTTTCAGTTAAATCGATCTAACTTCTTAAAATAATTCAGAAAATAGAAAAAGCAGAATAAATGTATGTTCAAAAAAAAACTTAAAATGCTCACGATCAGTTATTATTTATGTGTAAAAGAAAATCAAAAATGGCATTGCAGGAGTAGGTTGACTTATAAAAAAAAAACATTTTGCCATCACTGCAACCGTATTCGGCACAACAGTTTAGCAATTAAAAAAAATGTTTATTAATTCATATCAGCATGAAATTATTTAAGTCAATATATAAAAATATAAGCGATTAGAAAGATCTCACGGGTTATTTTGCACTCGTTTTTAATTGGTTAGCTTCATCAGAGGTTTCATTCTTCTTATTGGACGAATCCCCGTGTGCGATTTCTTGGCATGGGTATTAAGTTATGCTATAATATCAATAATTTTATGCTATATACGATATCCCAGGCGGGGGGCGACAAAGTGAGTTGGAACGGGGCATTCATCTCAATTATCGGTTTTATGTGAAAAAGAACTCGCATGTTGACGAGACACCAGGCAGTAAAACTCAAATTTGTTTAATTGTGTTATTGTTATCCAATCACACATGTGCGTCCGGGTAATAAAATACCAGTTTTATTCGTACGGGCGGATAAAAAACTATCCTTTCTTCGTCTTCCGTTATATCATTCATTCGTTTAATGACAGAATACGCGCTCAATCTCTAGTCGATCCGTTCTAGCACAAGTTGGAAGATGCGTAATTAATTATGGGAGTCACTTCAGCACCACCAGTCTTTCAACGCACAGCAAAACATAAGTTTGGACACCCTATATGAGTTCCTATCGAATAAAGAGAATAAAGACGTCACAACTGAACCGGATTTGAATAAACACATTCCAGATTTGCAGATTTTTTTTCTAGTGCACCATAAATCGAACATTAATCGTTCACATTTTCGTGAACGATGATTTTTTTTAGTCGGTGAGACGAGAGAGCAAAGCTACCTCGAACGGTTTACGTTCAGCAAGACAATAATTTTTATTCGACAATGTTGCGAAGTTTCCCAAATTAAACGCGGCAATAAAACCGGTCCGACACTGTACATCTGTCGGGATTTGTTTGGACTGCCGTTAAAACACAATTTCTGGCAGATAATAGCGGGAGTTGAAAAAATAACGACCGATCCGATAAAAACAGGATAATAAACGTAAAATAAGTTAAGTTAGTTTTCGTGCAAAAGTTCTCTATGAATTTGTAAGCTTCAGTTTGGCCTCTATAACTTTAAGATTCATTAAACGCTTCAATTGGATACATATTTTTTAGCCTTTCTCGAGATCTATATTGTAAATTGTTGTGATCCATATACTGGGTGTCTCACGGTTGATGAAACATTTGACGTTTTGCGAAAATGGCGATTTGCTGACAATTTGGTCACATAGATTTTTGACTGTCCTCGATCTTTTCAGGGTCTCAGTGTTGCCGCTTATATCGAAAAACAGGGCCCACTTTGTTTTTTTTACACGGGACCACTTGTATCTTGTTCCGCTGTGACTTTCTGATTGTTCTTATATCTAGCGGTTAATTTTAGCTAGTTTGCCAGTATCCTAATGTTTCTACCGTCTTACACAAGATAGGCAAAAAAATCATTTTTCTCTGTTAAATATTTTATAGTTATATAGTTTTCTAACAAAATCTAATTATTTTGACATAGTGTAAGGTACACATGACTGTCATCAATTGACAATATTTATTGCTTTGACAAATAGAAGGTTTCGACGCGAGCCCTGACGTCATGACCGATGAGAGAAAGTTTAGCGAACTTGAACCGATAAGGACACATCTCTTCATTTTTTTTTCCTCTAGAGCACTTTAACGTTGTTTTGGTTAGTTGTTTAGTTAGTTGTAAAGCTGTGTATTTTTAATTATTTTATGATAATGTGAACAAATCTATTTTTTGTGTGTGTGTTGTTTTGATAAGGAATATTTTTTTAAATATTTTGACATGTATAATTTAGAATATACATCATGTCTTCATTTTTAATTTAGTTTTAATATTATCAATATACATAATTATCGGTAAACAAAATATTTGAACTTCTATATATCGTATTCATATTTTAATCAGATTTAATAATAATAAAATACGAACAGTAGTGAGATCTGGCAACTTAGCTTACGAGAATAAACGTCAAAAATGTTTGAGTGCGCGTCAACCATTAAAAATGGCTGTATAACTGGTCGTCTATCGTAACAACTTTAAAACCGCCGGAGTCAATCGGAAGCGGGGTCCGTGGAGAATGTCAAAATGCCAACGGGCATCATGTTTAACCAAATATTTACCAAACCACTTTGTTGCAGGTGACAAATGATTTAAATTCAAAAACAATCGAACCGTCATCGCCTATAACGAAGAATCTGTCGTCGACCAATATAATTAAAACTGATGGTGGCCGCGCGTGTGAAAATCCGATCATGGCGGTCGCAAAATGGATTTTAACCGAGACGGCGTCGGAAGTATCAGGGTGAATCGGAAGTGTTTTATCGTGACAACGATGTTGTTGACGTTTCGAATGTTGATGGTGTTGACTTTGACGATGGTCGCGGGTTCAGAAGGTACGTGCAAAGAACATAACGGACTCACAGCGCTTGCGGTTAGATCAAAACGTTTTATTTCGAAAATTGAAACTGTCAATATAGAAAATAACCGTTTTGGCTCTATTTTTTTTTTCAAATTTTTCATAGTTGACGGACTATTTAACATTCTGCACTCTTATAATTCATATTTTTTTAATTATACAGCTAAAATCTAAACGGTTCGAGCACATGTCCTCGGACAGCATACAATTCTAATAAAAAAAAATGTATATGTTAAGATATAAGTAGCTATGTGAGACTGGGCTTTGATCTTTTTTAAAATCCTTTCACAGTTCCATTTTTTTGCGCTCCGCTATAGAAGATATATTATTATTATTATTAAATAAAATTAATGAAATTCATCAAAAATGGTGGTCTTTTTAAGTTGCAAACATAATTAAAATTTTATTTAAATAAATTATGCTCAAATATAAAATATATATGACATTTTGAGGGATCTTTCTTTTTTGGTCGAAAGTTTTTTGAACTTTTTGTAACCAGCTTGGACAACAATACCATTCTTTTTCGTCCCATACTCGCGCATGTATATTACGGAAAAAAGCTCCTAAAAAACGCCCTCTTTCCAGTGCGGCGTGTCGTCCTGAAAGCGAAATTTGCGACAAGAAAGGGAGAACGTAAAACACCCAATATGGGACGCGAATGGCTTCTCGCATAATGGCGTCGAAGAAGGATCCGGCGAAAAAAATCGTCCCCGAAAGCTTTTTTATAAAAGAACGCTTAAGCTTTCGTATTTCACTCCACGTCGACTCGCGTTTATATTTTTTATTTGCTCATTTTATTTCCTTTCGGTAGAGAATAGGCCGTTATTTGTCGCCGTAATGATTCATATTCACGCAAGCGGACTGTAATGAAGTCGAGCGTTTGGTTACAGACGTTCTCTGCATTATATTTATCAATGAACGTATGAGCGTGTTTAATAGTTACAGAATAGAAACAGAAAGGGAATTGGGGCTAGAAAATAATACATGTAAACTTTGTCTCACCTGATCGGTCGAGCAATATTTAGGTATAATAAAATCACATTAGTACTAGTAGAATATACGATGTCACTAAATGTACAAATTATCAACTATTACCTAAATAAATATTCAATGTAGGAACAATCTTCATAATATCTACAAATTACTAAGATATTGACCAGCAAAATGTCTGTGACGTATTGTGTAGTGGAAGGATGTGGTAGTAAATTAAACCATTACCTTTTTTTCGTTAGAACAAAGTTGGATAGGTGGTGCATTAACGCACCACTGGGAGAAAATGGGTTAAGTGCTGTAAACGAAAACTATTTAGTAATTTTTAGTTTGTATATTTGACAGTAGAAACGTCAGTGCATTAAAAATTTAATCAGTCTGAACTACCGTTGCATGACGATCTTGACATCTTACGTCACCAGACTGCGAAAACGCGACTTTGATCAAATAAAAAATAATCCAAATTGATTCGCGGGTAATTTGTTTGTTTTCGATTTTCAGCATAACGGAGAAGCACACGGGAGATTTTCAATCCATTCCATTGTTTATATATACTGACCTATTGCGTCAATTCGTTTTTCATTTGTTTCAGCTTTCATAGTCGCCGTCACGAAAACAACCGTCTCTCATCTCGCTTTGGGTCGCACGTAAAAGTATTCGCCGCCTGCGGGTGGGGTGTGGAATTTCATTCGCGACCCTGACAGTTTTGATTTGCCCCCCTCCCTTTTTCGTCGAATTAATTCTTGCGTCTTGCGTTGTCGGAAACAACTTCTGTACGAGGCAGAAATGCTTCAAGGAATATATTCGAATTCATTTAAAATTTGTCTCGCGCACGTTGCGCACCGTCCCCGAAATTGCTTATAAATAAAGGATTTCTACGTAAATTATAATTATAAATTATATTGTCTTTATAAAATTTTTCAATCCTACATCAGTCCTCGGACTCAGTTTGTAGAATTGAATTCTGCAAAATCCCAAACGACCCGCATCACATCTGGAATTCCTCAAGGGTCCCATTTGGGACCATTGTTATTTTCACTGTTTATCGCAGATGTCAGTAAATGTTTTCTTTTTGCTAAATCAGCATCATACGCAGATGATCAGAAATCATACGCGCCCGTGAAAAGCCTTAACGACTGTCATAAGTTTCAAGAAGATCTTGATCGTTTTTATGAATACTGTGTGAAAAATCGTCTATTTTTAAATATTGATAAATGTTACTGTCTTAAGTTTAGCAGGCGGATAAATGATATAAACTTTGACTACACATTCAATGGTGTAAAAATAAAAAAGTAGAGCAGATTAGGGATCTTGGAATAACTATAGATCTAAAATTAAGTTTTGATATCCACATTGAGAATATAGTAAAAAAAGCGTATAAAAATTTAGGTTTTATATTAAGAGTTAGCAAGGAATTTCAGGATCACAAATCGCTTATTATTCTATACAATTCCTACGTTCGATCTCACCTTGACTATGGCGGTGTGATATGGAGTCCTCAGTATCATAAATATATAGACAGAATCGAGAGAATACAAAAAAAGTTTGTTTTCCATTTAAATTTTAGGTTTAACCGTAACTTACTAACTCATTCGTATGAAGCTAGTCTTAATTTCTACCATATACTGAAGTTATCTGTTAGAAGAATTATCTCCAGTGCTATATTTTTGCATAATATTATTAATAGTAGGATTGACTGTCCTTTACTGTTGGAAAAACTATCCTTCAATGCCAGAGTCGTTATAACAAGAACTCCTTCATTATTTTACGTGCCTAGATTTAATACAAACTTAGGTAACAATTCCCCAATATCTCTTTTACATAGACATTACAATAATTATTTTTCGCACGTTGACATCTTTGCGTTATCACTTAATTCGTTTCGAAATCAAGCAATTAGGGTTTTTCTATAAATTTATTTTAATTTTTGATTTGTTTTCCTTATTTTTTCACATTTGTTTTTTGTAATTCACGCACTTAATATACAGTGTTAGTTTTGGTTTAGTTTGGTAAGTTTGATTGTTATTATTATTTATTTTTTTTTTATCTTCTGCTTATCGTAGATATAGGTAGGTACTTACTTATAAGTTTTACTTTGTTAATTAAATAATGGTATAATTGTTAGTGTGTCCTTGTAAATTGTGAAGTTAGTTCTTCATGTTAGGGCACCTTTGTAATAAATAAATAAATATACGTTTTAGCTCTTCGCCTTGAAAATAAGCCATCATTAGGTAAATTGAATTTAATTTGACTTCAACTTTTTTAAATTGAAAAAATATTTTTCAAAAGTAAGTGCCATAATATTTAAATCACTTAGTGGCTACCTGTTAAGATATAAATCAAATGCTTGGTCACTGTTTTCATGACATCCGATGAAAAGAACCATCATATTTCATATTTTCAAAAATACTAAGCAAGATTTTCTCAGTCCAATCCTAAAACGTAACCTATGCTAAAGCTTAGTGTTATCACATTCTAACTACTGCGATCTTACTTATGACCCCCGTCTAGCTCTTGAGTATGGGTCGCAGACAAAAAATTCAGAATATCTATTGTAGGCTTGCTTGCAATTTTCGTAAATATGATCACGTGTCAGAAAAAATAAAAGAATTGGACTGGTTAAAAGCGGAAAAGCGTAGGACTCTCCGTTTGGCAAATATTGCTCATCGACTTATTTCAGGTAGTCACGCTTTCCCTCCACAAAGCCAAGTTTCAGGTACGTCATAAGAGCCGTTCACGTAGTAATTTAGGAAATGATAGTGTTTTTAATTCCTAAAGATTATACTTCCCTGTTCAGGAGAAGCTATGTCTATAATGCAATTATGTTGCACAATTCACTGCCAGAAAATTAAAAAAAAAAACTTTCTTTAAAAAGGTATAAAACAGAATTTATAAAATGTAGAGTAATAATTTGTGTGTGTATGCTTTTTTTCTCTCCATTTTAGATTCCGTCTACTTCTTTTTCTCCCGTTTTTTAGTGGTTAAGTAGAATACCTTTTTTCTACTCCCGTCTGTAAAATACATAATTACACACCGATCTAGCGTGCGGAAAGCGTCACTTTACCACCTCAGTTTCGTTTCCCACGAATCCGAGCCAATTCGGACATTTCCGGGATTTTACCGAACGTATTTGGGAGCAATCGGATGTTTTCGGAGATATTTCCCACGTTTTGAATTTTGACGTTTGTCAGTTCTGACGGTCATGTCAGTGAATGTATTCGTGTTGTATAGTATAGTTTGCAACCTATTCGGTAAACTTTTTAAGTCACTCGTTTATTAAACACTCGCTTTGCTTCGCTCCGCTCGTGTCAAATGCCGTTTTCCTACTCCCGTCTGTAAAATATTTAATTACCCACCAATCTAGCGTGCGGGAAGCGTCACTTTACCACGTCAGTTTCGTTTCCCACGGATCCGAGCCACTTCGGACATTTCCGGGATTTTACCACACTGGTTTGGGAACAATCGGATATTTTCGGCGATATTTCCCACGCTTTGAATTTTGACGTTTGTCAATTCAGACGTTCATGTCAGTGAATGCATTCGTGTTGTTTTGCGAAAACGTATCCAAAAACTAACGGTCGTAGTCACTCGTTTATTAAACACTCGCTCCGCTCGTGTCAAATAAACTCGTGGGTCAAATGCCGTTTACCGCACTTGTTATTTATGAAATGTATTTTTGAGAAAAATGTAATTAATAAAAGACGTTTTATTAATATTATTATTATCATTGTTATTATTATTATTATTATTGTTATTATTATGATTATTATTTATTACTATTATTATTAAATCGATATTCTCTGAAATAAAATTCACTGTCTACGTATGACCCAATTTGTTAAACATTTTAAATAAAACTTACTGCTAGCGCGGGTGGGAGAGAAACCCCACCCTCCCCCCCGTAGTTGGCGCCCGTCCTTTCGTAACTTTAGATTCGGTTAGCGTTGAAACTTCAAAGTCGAAACTTTGCATCACCTGGGGGTATGA